ACTGTGCCCGGCACCCTTGCGCTTCGGAAGTCTTCAAAGTTTGCTCACCAACAAAACGCGCAGGATGGCAACAGTCCCCATTCTTTATCCAGCGGATGACTCACAAACGAAGAACGTACCTGGAAGAGTCTTCCCTCCGCCTTGATGTACTTTAATCTGTCTCTCACCGTCACTGCTAGTTCCCGCTGACCCGCTTTCGCTTTCATGATCACTGGCGCTACTTCCATCTGAACTCTCCTCTTCACTGCTCCAGCCGCTCTTTTGAGGATCTTCCAACTCCCCTCTGGGATCATCACTCACAACAGCGTGCGCGTGAAGCTGAAGAGGGCTTCCGCCAACAGACTCATCAGCGGTATTCAGCACACTAGTGTGCGTGTTCAGTGCGCTTGTGAATTTTCGACCAGGTGAATCAGCGAGACTTAGGTCAGCGGTGTGCTGCAGTCGCGGTGGTCCTTTCATAAGAGATGGTTCTGAAATAATGTTAAATGCTATCAACATTTGTGACACCCGAAATTTATAACAAGAATACACAATTTGCTGGGAACGTGAAATCTGACATAAAATGAAAACTTTAGAAATGAAAGTTTCCACAGCTGGATTTACTGTGCAATCTTGAGGTCTACACAAGTACCGGTTTCTGAGTATGATTGAAGAAAATCACATCTTCTAATAAGGTATTACTTCCTTGTCACAGATAATTAAAATGGCATTACATTGTGTGACAGATTAATTGTAACGCCAGTACATACCGTGATCATCGTGCGTAAAGGATGTCAAAACGGACACCTGTGCTGACATTTTCGCCGTTTGAGGCGATATGGACACTGCAACAGTTGTTTCTTCATCTTCTTCTTTATGTTGTTGCACAGAAGTAGCAACTGAGGCAGGAGTAGGCGCAGCGTCCTTGTTTTTCTGTTTAGAAAAAAAAATAAATGACCCAAAAACATAAAGGCCTCAGAGGTATGCTTCCTTTGAGAGTTTCCACGACATTACGGTTTCTTGAATGAAGAGTCGTGGATTAGCGGACAACAGACGTACCCTTTTACAATATATTTTAACATGTGAACAGTAAGCTCGGACGTCAGTACACAAAGGCACAAATGGCAGCCGCTCTCAGTCCATTTATGACCTTACTGTACCCACCCAACCCATGATGTGATTGATGTGATGTGTCTTTCTAGTTACACGGGTTACACAATGACTTATCACACGACTGGCGACTGGCGACTAAGACAGTCACTCAAGACGGGGGCGATACCAGTTGCACGGAATTGGGGATAACCTTTTAATGACGGCTGAGCAGGCATTGTGGACTCACACACTGACCAAGGGTTTGGTAGACTCTAAACTTAAGCTATGTTCACACAATACAGCATAGCTTTTTGTGACGTCACGAAAATTAATCCTGTATAGTGTGAACAGCAACAGCCCGCGGCGGCACAAGTCGTTCACACAAATCGGACATCGTGCTGGCGCGTTTGGCCGAAAGGGTTTGGTGCACTAGATTCTAGTCCTCACTCCTGAATAATTACTTCCGTTTCAGTGGTTTCCAGTCTTCGCTTCTCCTTATTCGCTTCCGCCACGGTCCCGAATAGGTGTTCACACTGCACCAAAGTATGACTCAAACCCTATCCGATATCTGACGCTCCACTTTCGAGATGGGCGTGACCAGGTTCGCTCCGTCACAGAAATCGCGCCGCCACAACCGTTCTTGTGCGTGGCGGTGTAAAAGCTATTCGGTAGAGTATATATGGTATAGTCTAAAGCTTTTAAATTTCTACCACATCTCGTTAATCTCTGAGCATAAACGATTACTCTTGTCCCTAGAGAAAGTAGATGGAAACCAGGACTAATTTGTTTTTGAAGTTTACTACTCACCGGTTGTCGAGCAACTCTGGGTTTCTGTAGCTTTTTTGCTCGGGCGGCTGCTGCACTGGCTTGATGGATTTTTTCTAAGAAAAAGAGCAATGAGTTTTAATGAGCTTCTCAGCTAAACTGATTTACAAATTTAAACCTGTGGTCCGTCAACACACAAAACTTTCGGCCTGGAGCTTTATTTCAAACTAGTAGTAATCAAAGCTAATTAGTATAATGTTGTTGACGTATGAATACAGTGCAAGGCCCGAAACTCATTGATTGGGCAATGACGCAATTCGCCTCTGAAAAAAACTTAAGGTGGTGGGAGGGGGGGGGGGATTGAAATTATATAGATAGATTCAAGCCAAACACAATTAAAATCTATAGAATGGTGGTATCATTTTTAAGGCACAGGACAAGCTTGTTTTTTTGGTTTTTTTTTTCGCCTGAGTGTGCCAATCACATACAAACGTGAACCAAGACTTCCTTAGGGAACCTCGCAAAAATGTTAGCCGTAGCAACTTCACCTACGAGGAAGTGCAAAAGAGTCGCTCACAAAAGCAATATATGTGCTTCGACCGATGAAGGAAAATACGCGAGTGTTGGTTCATTCTTAGCTAGCTGAGCACATTTAACTGCAGTCGAGGGAAAAGAAAAACTGAAGCCTTTGGTATCATAGTCCTACACGAGCAAATAAGACCGAAGGAGGTGTGTGGGGATGGGCGCCTGTTAACTTTTCTTCGCAAAAGGATGGGCGCTTATTGGAGGTGGGCGCTTAATCGAGTAAATACCGGGTATCTTACCAAATTCCTCTTCCGAACGGTTACGGTGTAGGTAGATCCATACTTTCCTGTTGCTGTCATATTTTACACATGGATCCCGTTCGTAATGTAGTCTATCCAAAGCCCCGCTCACCACTGTGTGAATCTGGCACAAGTTAAACAAATAATAACAATTTGTTTATGACTATATGGCTACAAAACCGCTTTTAACTAAATGGTGGACAGTGTTTTACGGGCTGTAGTGGGCTCCACAAGCTTAGTATAGCTCGGTCTAAAAGCAAGTCAGCTATTTTGCATGACCCAATACCATTTCAGAGAAAAAAGTTCTGAGTAATTAAATAAATATACTGCACTGCCCCTCACTGGTTTGCATTTCATTGCTCAGTGGTATGCTGCTTGTAACGCATTACCTTGGGTCGCAATGCAATATGTTGCACACCATCTCACTTGTTTGCATTGCTTTACTTAGCGGCTTATACTGCTTACCCTGTGCTGCCTTTGTTAACTAACCTGTGCATCAGACGAATTTAGGTTGAGAAACTGAGAATCCTTCAACAGCTCACAGACCTACAAATACAACAAATTCACCATCATGATAATACATTTAATTAGGCCGTCTCTCCCTAACGAACGAGTGCGATACGATATGATACCATTCGATTCAACTCGGTTAGGTGTTTTTCCATTTCACCGAGTCTGTAAGGTACGATCAAGGGTATGACACTGCTGCCATTCTTAAGACTTTTAAAAGAAAAACGATGGAGATAAACCTTTGAGATGATAAGATTTCAAAACGGCACGGAAATCGAAAAGCAAGATATTAAAATCTTATTATTTCGAGCGGAATAAAATTTTCGTTTCCACATTCTGAAATTCCAATTCCAAGTACAAAATTCCAATGAAGAAATGAGCTTTTCATTAAACATAAATTTGCTTTGATTCTTTAGGTTCCTTATAGTGAGGAATAAGTTTGAGAATCTTAGTTTACCTCTGCCCTAGTCCCCTCTCCGTTTGGAAGTCTGGACGCCGCATCTCTAACAAGTGTAAGGATAGTGACGTAGGGGGGACGTGCTGATGTCAACAGAGAATGCTCCCGAGCCTTGTTCAGATTGGTATCTTTACTGAACACTCCCTAGACAACCAAAAAAAATCCATTAATGCTGTTGTTAGAGGATGATTGTCTTATGCGAATGTTTTGTAACAGGGACAAAGTTTCGCGAAATATATAATGGAATTTTTTCTTTCTTACACGCTCAAGAAAATAAAATATTTAAGGCATAAGCAGTGTGGGTTTACCGGAGTGATAACCCATCCGGAATGTTGGGAGAACACAAGAAAAGCTTGTAAATCACGAGCCGAAGATAAAATAACTTTAAGTAAAACGGAGTCGTTTAGTTGTTTTCTATGAGTTTACCGACACAATAAACCATAGGTTTTTAACCAATCAGAACGCGCGTACTATCTTAGTTATTTTATAAAGTACAATAGAAGTAATGGCAGATTAATATTTTGCGGTCCAGATTCCGGAAGGAAGAATGCGTGTAATAATTACATCAAATGGTTTTGAAAATGAGGCAAGTGAAGTGCTTGAAGACGAGGTAAATTTGCGCCACAGAGATAACGGCCTACATTCCCAATTTTACCTAAAAAGATAACTAAGAAGCATTCTGTCCATCGCAATCAGGGCGGGGTTTAGTAAATAAGTTAAGCCACCCTTTCTTCTCGAATCCGATTTGGGGGAAAAATAGGGGTGGAGGGAGGAGGGTTACGTGACATACCTTTACCGGCCCAACAACAGATTCAAAGCCATGCATCCTAAAGGTGAACGCTTTATGAGGGTTCTCGTATCGTTTGTTTTCCTGTTTAATAAGGAACACACAATGAGTTCATCTATACTACTCTAGCTGATTGTAACTTTTCCGTAAACAGAAGGCGCTTACTAGAAACGTTCAATAAATCTTTCATTTGAATCATACAGGTTTCTTTTTCATCCTTACTTATTGAAAAAAATAACCGAATAACGAACGGAGACATCAAAAAGAGAAAGCTAATGGGGAAAATGTGAGGGAAGCGATTGAAAGAGATATTTCGAGGGATATCTAGATGAGAAGAGGAATAACTAAAGGGAATAAACAAGAGAGATATCTTTTGAGGGATCTTAGAGGGGGACATATGAACATGATATCAGTGGAAAGAAAGTCTACAATGAAAGAAATGTGTAACAAGATTTATCTCAGGTATGAAGAAGAAACGTTTTCTCAAAGTGTACGGAAACCCCTTTTTCCAAATAAAAGTAAGAAGCAACAATTGTGTCGTGTGGCTCCAAATTTGGATTCCGTAAGTAGAAAAACTCAAACATTTCAGTGAGGCCACTGAAATATTGAGCACGTTATGTACAGTGGAAATATTTAGTCTTAAAGTGGATTACAGTTGGTTAAAAAAGAAAAGGACATCGTTACTTGGTCTCTGAAAGCGGCTCTCTCATCTTCAGTGCTTGGTCTGACCACATAATCTGTTTTTCTGCAAGAAAGAGCGTATTCGTCGGGAAAATAGCGTTCTACATACAATCAAAATGAGGTTGGTCTTCTTTTGCGCATGTCTTTTAATTTGCAGAGAAGGGGCACAAGTAGCTGCTTTGCGATGGAATGAGTTGCGCAGTACCTTTATAACTTGCTTAGAGTGAACTTAATAAAAGCAAAGTTTCACTTGAAGTTACAGTTTCTGAACGTTTGTCAGGAAAAGTACAACCGATAAAGTCGACTAGTTCGCTATACCACCCTCCACTCTGCCCCGCCCCCTTCACCCATCTTCTCAACTGAGCGGCTAACGTCTACCGAGTCATATTTTCCTTAATACCCTAATTTCATGCCTCTAGCACATATGGTTATTCAATGGATGAGTAAGGTTGTTGCTATTGTTGTTGAGTTTCAGCACATATGGTTATTCAATGGATGAGTAAGGTTGTTGCTATGGTTGTTGAGTTTCAGCACATATGGTTATTCAATGGATGAGTAAGGTTGTTGCTATTGTTGTTGAGTTACAGCACATATGGTTATTCAATGGATGAGTAAGGTTGTTGCTATTGTTGTTGAGTTACAGCACATATGGTTATTCAATGGATGAGTAAGGTTGTTGCTATTGTTGTTGAGTTACAGCACATATGGTTATTCAATGGATGAGTAAGGTTGTTGCTATTGTTGTTGAGTCACAGCACATATGGTTATTCAATGGATGAGTAAGGTTGTTGCTATTGTTGTTGAGTTACAGCACATATGGGTATTCAATGGATGAGTAAGTTTGTTGCTATTGTTGTTGAGTTTCAGCACATATGGGTATTCAATGGATGAGTAAGCCTGTTGCTATTGTTGTTGAGTTTCAGCACATATGGTTATTAAATGGATGAGTAAGGTTGTTGCTATTGTTGTTGAGTTACAGCACATACGGGTATTCAATGGATGAGTAAGGTTGTTGCTATTGTTGTTGAGTTACAGCACATATGGGTATTTAATGGATGAGTAAGGCTGTTGCTATTGTTGTTGAGTTACAGCACATATGGGTATTCAATGGATGAGTAAGCCTGTTGCTATTGTTGTTGAGTTTCAGCACATATGGGTATTCAATGGATGAGTAAGGTTGTTGCTATTGTTGTTGAGTTACAGCACATATGGGTATTCAATGGATGGGTAAGGTTGTTGCTATTGTTGTTGAGTTTCAGCACATATGGGTATTCAATGGATGAGTAAGGTTGTTGCTATTGTTGTTGAGTTTCAGCACATATGGGTATTCAATGGATGGGTAAGGTTGTTGCTATTGTTGTTGAGCGACAATTTTAACTTACACGCGAGGTGAAGGAGCGGACGACGAAGCTGTTTCAGAGGAAACACCCTGCAACAAAATAAATATCAAATGAGACTTGACTGAGTTCTGTATCATATAGACTACAAACCTAACAGTTATGCCCAAAGCGGTATATTGTTTAAGGAAAAGGCCTAATTTATGAATACCACCACTACAGGGTCTTACTCCTTGGGTCGAGTACGGCACTCCTTTATTTTTCTATTCAACCTGGATACCGTTAGAAAGAAAAAGGTATCTGGTTGCTCTTGGCCAGAGAAGAGCACACAGCACAGAGTAAAATCTTTTTTATTAAGAAGATGAGGAAGACCACTTGTGTTTCCTCATATTAGTTTTTATAGACTCTCAAGATTTTAAATTATGGATGGAGGTACGGTTTTCATTTTGCACTTTCTTTACCGGTTTGTTTGCAAATTCCCCTTTGACTCGAAGCCAGTCATCACATAACGGCTCTAACTGCTCATCAGAGTCTCTATGAGTACCTAGAAATAATAAAACTATATTTATTGTCGAAAAATCACTTCATATGATGAAGAGCTCTTATCACTGACGACCCGACTGAGGTGGCAATCACGGGTTTCATTTCAAGCTAGACGCGCGCCGGATGCAACGTCCGGTTGTTGGACATGTAATGTACAGTACTTCTCACACGAAATAATAATTTTTTGAAGTGTGAAAATCGTTTCTTTTTCATTTATTAATCAACTAATAAACGGACAACTGCAAACCGACAATTATAACTGCCAAATCAGAAACTTCATTTTTTGATGCCTTAGAAGACCTTCCCGTTTAACCAGTTCCGGCCCAGGGAACGCAGGAAATTGCATTTTAGAGAGTAAAATAAAACTTTCCGAGGGGAGCATGCCCCCGGCCCCGCCTAGGACCGATCCCTATGGGTCAAAGGAATGTGCGATGTTTCAACGCGTGGTTATTTTGCCAAATTAGCATAAAAGGCCTTAAACTAAAAATATCAACACGAATATTTCTAGGATACCAATCGCGACAAATTCTGTGACTAAGCGCTTGAGGAATTCTACAGAGTAGTTGGTATTGAAAAAAGAAAAAAAAAAGAAAACTCTCACCTATCCATTTCCATTGTTGAGGCCTTTCTTTAAAGTCCACAAAAGGAACAAAAGTAGGTTGGGTCTCTAGAAAGGTACAATCAAATTGTTTTCTCATACACACACACTAAATCACTCTCATTATAGGTACATACATAAACTTTATAAAATGTCTGCAAAAATGATTTGACAGACAATTTGTTTTCTCCGTGAGAAAGAGGGGAAGATATGCACTCTTATAAAAAGTCTATAAATGTACAATTTATAGACATTTTACTATCTCTGTAAAACAACCACTTTTGCCAGTGATGATGCATATATTATTATTGAATCTGTGCGTTTAATTTTACAAGATAAAAATCGGTAACAAAAACATGATAGACTCGCTTGTACCATAGGATCCACATCAGCTTCAACTTGTGCTTTTAGTACCAGTTGTGCTAGATTTATGGTCCACAATAATCAACTTGCAGTTTTATGAAGTAAGCAGTTTTGAAGTGTTCACCTGAACAGCTTTCTAACGAGTTTAAACTTAATGGGCATTGGATGCCATCAGTACAAGAAATGGAAAACTATCACCCTGGGTAGCAGGTGCTTGCTAGGAGGAAAACGGGGCGCGCGATGGAGACATGCTCCCTCTCCTCTCGCGTCTCTCCCTCACGAGTCCCGTTCTTTCATGCACCTATTACTTCCAAGCAAGCGTCTGCTACGCAGGCTACCATACTGTGGAATAGAGAAACGAACAGCCGAAATTACAGGTAAAATGCTTTCAAACATATTGTAAAACTGTAAAATATGCATTGTAATATGCTTACCCACGAAGCACTTTGGAGTTCTTAAGAGCTCGTTTAAATGTTTCCGTGCGTTCCAGATCGAATTGGAATTTGGAAGTGGTAGTTTTTGAGGAGAGGGGAAAACCGGAGTACCCGGAGAAAAACCTCTCGGAGCAAGGGAGAGAACCAACAATAAACTCAACCCACATATGGCGTCGACGCCGGGATTTGAACCCGGGCCACATTGGCGGGAGGTGAAGGTGCTCTCACCACTGCGCGCGCCACCCTTGCACTCTTGATTGTGATACACTTGTTTGGGTTCTCAGTCAGATTAAGTCAAGTTATAATATCATATATACCTCCTGAACTTCCCGAAAGGTAGATAAGGGCAGAATAAGCAAGTTTAATCCAGTCTGGCTCCTGTGTACTCCAAGTGTTTGCAGCACACGACGAAGACAGCTTAAAGTAGGTCACAAAAGAATCATTAGTTCCATTGCTTAGAGAATAGAACCTTAAGGTGAATTTCCACTGTGGCGTATTGAAATAATGCTTGGGAGACATATGTTTGATATATATATTTGAAACCAGGCTGTGATTTTGTCATTCACCAGAAATACGAAGTAATTTCTTAAGTTCCATGGCCAATAAGGACGCGTAATTGACACTAGCCACCTCCACTTCGGTGAATTAGGACAATTGTGCGATGACGTCATTTTACTGCAACTACCAGAATTCTTGAGTTTGTTGTTTTCTTATGCAAATTAAGGCTATTGTTCTTTAATCCTCAGCGGGATTGACACATTTAAATAACAAAGCAAAATCGAAATGAATTCTGGCAGTTGTAGTCGAATATCGTCATCGTGCAATTGTCCTATTGTTATTTATAAACAAAATGAACTAAACAGCGGTAACGTAATCCCTTTATGTATCGCCCCACGAAAGGGTATCGGTTGCCTGTAGAATCGGGAATCCGGGAAGATTTTGCTTATGCCACCCGGAATCCTGGGTTGTGGAATCCGGAATAGAGCTCAAGGAATCGGAAATCCCACTAACGACCTGAGTCCAGAATCCAAGTTCTACTGACAAATACTGGAATTCAGTACCTGGAATCCGAAATCCACAGTGCGTGGAATCCAGAATCCAAGAATGTCCTTGATTCGCTTACATGGGGTGATATGTAAAACTTCGCTCAAGTTTTACGTTTACTATACGGAATACGCACGACTGTTCAAAACTGTTTGTACCAACAAAATGCACTTCCGTACGCACGTGAAAATTACCCGATGGTGGGAAAGTGAAGCAACAAACTAAGCAAACATACCTGCCACTTCCTCACCATCTCCTCTATCTGAAAAAAAGAATGCAAGAAGTTACAAATTGGGAATTAATTCAATACTAGTGCCGAAACTGAAAATTCTTTCTCTATAACCCTGTTTATATCCCCGCGCTCGGGGATTTACTTGGGCATGCATCGTTTCAAATCTTTCCCCAAGGATATTTCAGTCAAAAATGCGTGGTTGCGAACGTCACACGCCCCTACGGCGTGTGAGCCTAGTCTCGCATTCTGTTTTCAGCCTCATTCCAGGCCTATTGTTTGACTGCTCGCGCGTACTTGAATACGTAAAAATACGGACTGTTTTGCAGTCTAGTTGAGACGAAAAAAGTTGTTAAGAGGAACACGAAAAATCGACTAATTCACACTATCACATTTTTGCCCCTAAATGATAGGGGCAAAAATCATTATCATTATCGATATCAGTATCATTAATGATATTGTCATTATAAATTCTTTGCGTAGTTGCTGATGAAACATAGTCCTTTGATAACCTCAAGTAACACTTACAGGCAATCGCAGAGACAAAGGTTTCGATTTGAGAAGGCTGTGATAATTAACTGTCGTGTAATCAATGTACAACGCACATAAAACAATTTCAGTACAATACAGTGAACATACTTTTTGCAGGTTTGCCTTGGAGTCAGAAAAATTATTAAAAATCTCACGAAGCAGGCTGAAAAAACAGGGCACCTCCACTGAAAGGACAGGAACTCTGCACAGAAAGAAAGCAAGAAAGTATGCTGAAACGAGCAAGATACATAACTAAGCTTTAGCTTGACTGACGTGTACCTCTCTTTTACCACGTAACACCTTTAAACTTAGCTTGGGAATGCAGATGTATTTCCGGTCGTCGCTTCTCTCCACCTGAAAAGTAACGAGAGAAGCGACGACCGGAAATACGTCTGCGTTTTTGCATGTTACTTTAAACTGGGAGCCAATGGTTCTTTCAAGATTCCACATTAAATGTGTACATGTATGTATGGCAAAATTGTTAACAAGTCATAGTAGTTTGGGGAGTTTACTTCGGACACCTGCTTGCTAAAAAGTTAACGTCGGCGGAGAAATTGCTTCTTTAAGGTAATGAAGAAGATGCTAGACACATTTCATCAGCGTGAGACAGGTCTATTAAATCGGACAGTTGATTGACTTACGAAAGAACATTCTGCGCTTCACGAGCAGCTTCTTCCTTCTTCGTACTTTTAACAGTCTTCACAGTCTCGTTCTGAACTGCTTTCACTTGTGCTTTTGTTTCTTGTTTCTGTTGCAGTTTTTGCTTTAATTTTCGTTTGACTTTAGCCTTCTTGTCCTTTTTCTTGGATAACTCAGCTTTGTAAGATACAAAAAAGGAAAAAGACAACAATTAGTAATTACGCTATGCAGCTATTGCAGCAGCTGACAGAATTGGGTGAGAAGAAACAGTGGACCCTAGTTCTGAAAAAATTGCTTGCGTAGCAGACGCTGGTTTTTTGGGGAAAGGCAGCCTCCTAACCAGGCCAGTTCGCGCTATCCGAGTTACCAGAGGAGGCGAATTTTCCCGACAAGCTTGACCGGTGACCCCACACCCGAAATCGCCGAGGACGACTGGGAACGAGGCTGGGGCAAAGGGAGAAATTTCGAGGACGAAAGCGATAGTCACTTTTGGGAGGTGGTCGCACATGGAGGTTGGACTGTATCTTGATTTTCGCTCAATGACACTCGATTTAAAGGCTAAAACTAAATATACAAACTTCGAACAATATTGTTGCAGGCAAAGAAACGCTGATAGACCTAAATGCTACTTCGCGCAACACTAACCGGTTTATAGCAAAAACACAACGAAATATGTTTATCTCTGGGGCACTGGGCTTGCAAGCAACTTGAAACTTGTGCAAAACAAATTAATTACATTGTACGAGGAGACAAGCTGTAAGAAAGATTGTCCAACGTAACCACAAGGGTCTCGCCCCTTATTAAAGCTATACTCACAAGATTTCGAGGACTTCTTTGACGGATTTGTTCTAAAGACAATGTCTTGGATGGAAGTGAACCTCGTATCCAACTCGGGATGATCCTAATAATGAGAAAATAAAAAGACGACGTTAGAAGGAATCACAGTGTCGCTGAAAACCTGGCATATGGCGACCCATGTCATCACGACCACGCTTTTCTTCTTCGAACAAAACCCCAACTATTTTCTTCCTCTTCAACCTTTTTAGTACGACCGCCTCATGACTACGACCAACGATCACCTGCTGGATTCTTCATCATTACTTTACCTCGCTTACACAACGAGTTGGACTCCTCTTACGACCTGCTGTCAAGTGCTGAAAAAACCTTTCGAGTGATATGAGTGATTTTTGGAAATTTACAACAACAACAACAATTTTAGAATAGCCATTGCCCAGGACTTGACTAAAACATGCAGTCTTGTTCTAACTTCATGAATTCTTGTCATTTTCACTTATTAGTCGACAGAAACTTGCAGACTTGAGCTCATCACAAGGTTTTACTGAAGAAAATGCATACCCCAAAGAAATTTATTTTTTCGTGTGTCTGTCCAGTTATAGATCAAAAGTGACGTAAAAATGTGGTAAGAAGATCAGTGACACACTAGCCTGCCGCTCTTATCACATTTTGATATCATCTGTGATCTCTAAATGGACACACTACAAAATGAAGAAAGTAGATAACACTTAAGTTGACAGTAAACCTCATTTGCCAGCCTTCTTTTTCGATGGATCTGGATCATCTTTTGGAGGTCTTCTTCTGTGACCACATTAGGAGACGGTGCTCGGTGAACTGCAGGTGTAGAAAAGGGGAATCCATGGTAACCTGGATATGGCATGCCAGCACCTAATATTCCTGGAATACCACTGTAAATATCTGGCGTATAGTGATAAGGGTTCATGAATAAACCCATCGCAGGACCAAATGGATCACCTGCAACAAAGTGGGAAAAAAGGAGATTATTGCTTGGTTAATATGTGGAGGTACAGAATAGTGTACAAATTCAGGGGCACCCAACGAGGATATAGTTCAAAACCACTTAACATAGCATTGTTGAACGTATTTTAGTATTTAAACGGTAGATATAGGCATATTTTTATCCCCTAAAAACTTTTCATCTGTTCGGATTTCCTAGCTGAAAGTCTAGTGATCCGAAAATTATAGGGATCAAAACTTACCTTTTCGAAAATTTCAGCCAGGAAAGGCTTCCGAAAATTCTAGGTGGCCTTTTTTAGGGTAAATATCCATGTAAAATGGGTAATTATACCATTTTGTAGATGTTCGAAAATCCTAGGAGAGGCAGGCAAGCAAGAATTTTTAAAACAAATGTACCGAAAATTCTAGTTCTCAAATTGTCTTCCGAACAGATATTTTCCCGAAAATTGCCGTTGGGTGCCCCTGCAAATTGGAGTATGGAGAAACAGTCCAAACGTTGCCCTAGCTATAACCCTAGCTGTACATTAGGGAACTTTAGCATCGAGGACGGCAACGGCAGCGAAAACGTCAGTTTTAAAATGAATTCTCGTATTTTCAATCTTTGTCGCGTTTATTTCAATTTGCTGAAAATGGCAAGTGTAGGCGAATTTCCCTGGAGTTGATTTCTTGAGGACAGCACTCAAGTTTCGTCGCTTGTTTACGTCCTCCATAAAACTTGCAATTAGGCATTTTCACGTCGTAGTCGTGCAAGGACGGTGAAGAAATGTACAAAAAAGCGTGATGCACGTGCAAAGTTGTTGTGTTGCGTAATAAACCTGTTGCTTTTTTGACGGCCTGGTTGCCGTCGCCGTCGTCGTTGCTAAAGCTCCCTAATATCGGCAAGATTTCCGTATAACCCCATACATTAATTATGCATACATCTATTGTTAAAAGATAACAAAAGAAAGAACAATGCTTAGCCTTTGGGATTTCAGCTATTATCATAAAACTTTTTATTTTTTTTCTAAGCCTTTTTTAAAACGCCCTAAAAGTAATAATTGGACTGAGGGAGGCATAGAAACCTACCAACACTTCTTTCTTCATCATCAGAGGAAATGTTACCATCCTGAACAGGAAAAGAGTTGTAACAGTTGTACAATGAACAACAGAAACAGAATTTATACATTTATTTTATTTATTGACAAGACTCCGAGTTTGCAAACATCTATTAGTATTATATAGGTTCATTATATGGCTACAACAGTACATGCATTCTGATTGGCTGCTAAGCGGGCATTATTTTCTTGTAATGACCACGCATTACCAGCTACGCGTAGGTGTTCAAGGCATATACAATCTGTGTTTAACTTGATAGTGGACATCCTTATGGACATCCATGTTATGGTCAATTGACGGCTGTCAAAAAGGGTATCTGCTGACCAGTGTCACATGGCTGTAATGCGGGCTCAAGTGTACAACTCATTGAGGTGACGTGTATTTTAAAGTTATCCATTGAAGAGTAATTGGTTTTAATTGATTGCAGGTTCAGATTCAGTATGAAAAGGCCATCATACAATAATCGTCCATTTAGTCATTACAGGGAAATCTCAGATCTCAGCCTTGATGTATTGACCTTGCTATCACTCGGTCAATACATCACGGTCTGAGGTTTCCCTGTAATGACCTCACTCTCAGTTAATAAGTGGTATATATTATCTGCTTACAGAACTTCAATGACTTGTTGAAACATTGTTGGAGCCTTATGCAAAACAAACGGTATAAGCAAGTCTGGTGCTTTGCATTTCAAACTACCTGGTGCTTATTGCACCTCAAAAAGTGACATGAACATGACAAAAAATCTGAAACATATGACCTGTCAGGTGCACACACAAGACACTAAGGCCTCTGTGTACATTTAGACCTCACGAGTATTGCCTGATTGGCAAAGAGGAAAACATGGTAACTATAAAACAAGCAAGTTGATTTATACCTGGCACTGTTGTCTGCATTCTGACAAGATCCTGGCAGAAATTATGCAATAGAGTCAAAGGTTTACTCAAGGTAGTAATGAAAGTTTTCTTGGGGGGTGGGGGGGGGGGGATGAATTTGATAAAACAATGCTCTCTTTTGATTCAGCAAAACTCATACTTTTTAGTTACAGTTACAGTATGTTAAATGAGACAGAAATGGAGATTGCCATACGACTTCTCACACTTGCTTTAAATAATAATAATAACATATATAATTATGAAAATTACATCAAGATTTCAAAAGGGATGACAAAGTATTAACCTTAAAGGATTCCAAGGTAGCAACAAGAATGAAGGTCCGGATCAACTATGGGGATTCTCACATGGTTTGTTAAGTTGATAACAAAAATTTGACTTGTTTCTTACCTCTTAAGTTGAATATTAACCCTGTGTTCCATTGCCAAAGTGTCTATGGATGGTGTCTGCCCACTGAAATTTAAGCAAAATTTTATAATTTCACATTGTTCTTAGGTCACACATTTTACAAACAGTACTACATGCACATCAACTGGTGAAACCTATTTTTCATAATAATAATTAATAATAATAGTAATGATAATAATAATAACAATAAGATCTATAGATAATACATTTGCACAAGACATCTCATACTACAGACTCTGATGTAGTGACCACCGATATAATATGCACATACCTGGTTTTGATTGGTTCTCCAGGGCCCTGTCTTCCAATCTGATCAAGGATTTCCTGATACAATAAAAACAAGAATTTATGATTGGCTGAATACTAATAAAAGTACAGCCTGCGAAAACAGCTACCACTGGTTTCCCGCCAAATGATGTCTGAGAAACGAGTGCAGAAATTCCATAATGATGACGCTTCACTGCCCAGATCTGGGTAGTGCTTCTGATTGGTTAAATCAAATTTCCCACACAGCACAACCAATCAGAAGCAGTACCCAGATCTGGGTAGTGACGCATCTCAGTAGGGAATTTCTGAGCTTGTTTCTTTTTTGCAGGGAAACCAGTGGAAGTGTTGCTAAATGTTGGCTGTTTTCTTAGGCCAACCAAAGTAGTGAAGTTTGTAAAACAAGGCAAACAGAATCTGAATTGAGTTAGTATAATTTATTCATAGCTGATACAAAAGTTAATGATAGCAAGAAGTCTGATTACCTGGCGAGATATAAGTATTTCTTTCAAAAGTTTCCTATGGTACCTCTGCTGCTGAATCTAGAAATAAAATGGGTGCCAAAGTCAACCTATGCATACTGACACAGGGGGGTAGGGAGCATACCAAACAGAAGCACACTTCCAGTACGCTTTATTTTACTTAATCTTGTACTTGTAGTTGTCCTCGTCTCAGAATTTAAAGCACTCTATTGTTGTACATGTTACTAGCCAAGATCTGACACTGAACATGAAATCAAGAAACCAGGTAAAAAAAGAAGCCATGTTAGAGTTAGGTACACACAAACGTTCTTAGCATGTGTCTTGGTCTCAGTTTGTGAGACCCATGCCTCTGCAATCAAGCAAAATCTTAGACCGATGACAGTACATACCTTGTACTCTTTGTATTTTGCTTTTCGACACAACTTTTTGTATTTTACCACATCTGGGTAGAAGTAACCATCTGTACATAATGACACAGGAAAAGAGAAAACATTATGCACAGTACTGTACATGCTATGTAGTTAAAAATTATACTTAACGAAATGGAGCAAGATTCAAGCTAAACAAAATATTATATTTTTAAAATGACCAGGCAGATCAATTAGGCATTCCAAATGAAGGGTATCCTTTAATATTATTTTTTATTACCTACATGTTTTCCAGTTGCCAGTAAATGTATATGTTGTGGTTCAAATTTCTTCTTTGGTTTGAATTTTCTAAAACTGGTTTAAATTTTTTAAACTGGAGTGAAAATTGCAGAGACAGGAAAGCTAACACCTTGGGACAGAGTGAATTGATAATGAAAGTAAATGTATGACCTAGTCACTTTAAACAGTAATATTTTAAAGATATTCATTGAAAGGCTCAAACCAAGCATGCGTGGCTGTACATGTACATTGAACAGGTCGAGTATACTAGCAATTATGGTTGTAGAGATGTTGCCCTCGAACATAAACCTTTTAGAGATAGCATCTGCCACAAATCATGCATGACTGGTCAATTTAGTCTTTGTCTTTGCCTCACTTATTTACCAGTTTTACATCAGCCTTCCACTGAAGCTCAATTAATTTTTTTTTACCTATTTAACCAAAATATTAAATAAGCATGCTGGTTATGCTTCCCTGTCTTGACCAAGGTTTGATATTGGTCCAGGTACATGGAGGGGAACAACAATTATAATAACAGTAATGTCTCCGCTGAAAGATCACAAAATTAATTACTGTAGCACACACCTTTTAACTCTTGCTGAAATTTTTGAACTGGGTTTCCAAACCTGAAGTTTTCACCACTAAACAATGCACTAGTTACATCAAAATAAAAATGGAAGAAACAAACATTACAATTTAAGCTATTCGTCTCTCAAAACTTCACTGAGGCCTTACTACTTGAAGAGCATAACCTAATGCTAAATGTGACCAAGAACAATTAAGAGATTTTGTTGCCATCACTGGCATCAGGTCTGGATCATGTTGGGCCCAACCCACAGCAAACTACTGAGGAAATATCAAACAGGAGTAGAATAACTGACTGTATCAACACAGTTTGAAAGTATCTTTCTTAAAATTGCTTTAATCTAGAGGGAAGAAAGCTTACTTTTCGGAACATGGTAATTGGAGACATAACATTTTGCATCGTTGTATGTGAATAATTGCAGTGGAATCTCTATGTGTGTCCTTACAGCTCAAGGTACTTGATTACTTGTCACTCTTCACTAACTTCAAAATTTGTGGACAAAATCCTATGGTTTTACCCTTCAAATGAAACCTCTTGGGCAGTTCCTTTACAAAGTACCAGGGGGGGGGCCTGGCTAGCCCCCCCCCCCCTCTCCTCCCGCCTCTTATTTTTGGACCAAACTGAGGCCCAAAAGGCCGAAAAAAATTTTTTTTAACCCTGAGCCCCCCTTATCTCAGGGTCTGGATGACTGTTCCCCCCCTCCTTATCTCAATGACTGGATCTGCCACTGAGTACTATATGCACATGAATAATTATTTTTATTAGGATTTTACAAAACAAATTTGCTTTACTTTTTTTGGTGGATTTTTTTCTTTTTAGCCATTATTAAGAGTGGAAGCATTAATATTGACCACATGACATTTCCCACATTTATTTTGTATAGTGTAACTCAAAAGCTCCACATAATAAATTCTCTTGAACGGTGAGATTAATTTTCACACTTGCTCCTGGTAGAAAGCCCCAGGTTTGACCCTTTAAAAGAAAATGTGTTCCCCATTATCTACAGAGCAAGGGTGGGTAGTTGGTTAGGGCGCGGCCCTCAGTAGTGTATGAGGTCCCGAGTTCAATCCCTGGTTAAATCACATCCCTGTTTCAACTTCTCTTCTTTCTGTGTAGCTTTGACTAGCTTTAAATACCCTTAGCAGTCGACTTGAACCGTCAACCTCAAGTTAATCAGTTATTACTGTCACGAGTTATCATAATTTTTGCTTTACCTTTTTGTATAAGCAACCATCACTAGCCTTGGTATTCTGGGTGGCTATCAAATAAGGTTTAACATTACTACAAAATGTCACCAACCTTAAGTTTTCTTCTTGAGCATGTGGGTAGTCAGTTGGAAGTACTGGAAGAAATGTCTACCAAAACAGACAATTTAAATTCAACAATTAGCCAGAAATATATGAACATTTCACTGTTACTGCAACATTTAATTACACTTGTAGCTGTGCAGTGTGCAGTGGTCTAAAGATCACAGCAGACCTCCAAATGAGGTAAGCGTATCATTAAGTAACTCCTTTGAACACAGCTGTACGTAATTGGCCTTTTGCTTTTTTTACCTCAGTCGTGGTCATCTGTGATCCTGACACATGGTAGCCTGCACCACAGGTGAAACCAAACTCTGGTTACATGTAAGTCTATATGCAAAGCAGCACCAAAATACTTGTTCTGGGCCTCCTCACTGTGTACCAGGATTTGACTACGCGCTACGATTGGCTTGTTGAAAAAGCCATTGTCGATTTGTCAATCAGGATTAAAAAAATTTTCAACACACCTCCAGTAATTCATTGAGTCCTCTGGGATCCCAGAACAAGGATATCAATGCTGCTTCACAAAAAATTAATGTTACTAACTGAGATTAAATTATATCTGTGATGCAGGCTAGACACATGGTAATAATTTATTTTTATATTATATATCGTATCAAAAAATGTTTTGAGGCAAGCTGTAGCACAGTGATGGATTTCCTGCTGATCAAGACAGTAATGCTTGTTAAAATGAGTTTTAGTTAGTTATACATGTGCAGGCTATAAAAGCAGGGAAATAACAGGTGGAAATAATGCATCGAATGATAATGCAACAGCTGTGTAACAGACTAGCGACACTAACAAAGGTAACCCTTGCCACGTACAAAAATGAAAATTTGCATGCAAGGGAAGGCTGCTTGCACTTCGTCACCAGTCATAAGGAGCCTGTGACCTGTGACCTACAGATTAGACCCACCACCAGCCGGAACATGTAAATTAAATTCACCAATGTGATTACGCACTTCTGAGGATTTTTGTACGGAGCTTCTTACCTCCAAATGCTTCCTATCTGCAGGAGTAAGAACATTCTTCCACGTCTCCATGCTCACAACTTTAAAAAATATTTCTTTCTAAAATGTCAAGGGTAAAAAAGCCAATCATAATATTATTTCAGTGAAAATACCCGGAATTTGCCTACGGTGGCATGGCAAAGTTTTTTTTTAGAAGATATGAACTGCATGTATATATATAATTAATTTTTACAACAAGAAGGATAAACATTTCGGATCTGTGCATGTATGTTTGTTTAAGCTTATACATTCCAGCTTCTGGCCATGGTATCTTTACAGTGTCATAAATTCGTGTTTCGTTACATAAATCTGCTTAATTTCGCATTATTTCGCGCCAGACCATGATTTACCTGTTCAATCAAATCTATCGGGAGCGCCATCTCCGTTCCACCGAAGCTGCAAACTTCCATTCCTTTCAGGTCGCTTTCCTCAAGATTCGAAGCCTCCATGATGAATTGATGAATATGTTTAGATTTCCAAGGGCAGAATCGAGCAGAAAATAATACCATGCACTTCGAAATTCAGTAAGTTTTAGCAGACATGTTTAATATTTTCTCTTTTGCTGTTGATTTACATGTACAGCATGTACAATGGAAATTCTTTCAATCAATCAAGAACTCCGCCATGTTGAATTTGTTGATGTTCCATACTTACGTCATGTAAACAACACAATTTGTCTTACCATGCTCTTACCGCTGGTTAACGGGGCTCGTCGTCTCATTTTGGCAAGATGGCGTCCACAACAGCTCTCGTATTCAAAGTGGATTTTTGTAGTTGTTTGTGATTCATTTTCGCTGTCAACTCCCTCAAAAGCATGCCCAAACGGAAGGTAAAGAGACTTTCCTTTCATATACTCGGTTAAATACTAAAATACCACATAAAGACCTTCCATAATGGAGAAATAGTTGTTCTAAAATTCGCGCCCTTATTCAGGATTCGATCGTTTACCTGAGAGTGTATTTAATATTCTGCCAACATTCACTTGTAAAAAAGACTTTCCAGGGTGGCTATTTTTTAGGAATATGCTACAAATCTTTTAGTCAAATCTCGTCCCTGTAGTTCTTCTCATCCTCAAAGCTAAAGGTCTGTACTATCCTGGGTAATGTTTGCCCCAGGATGTGGTAGAAGGGGGGCAACCCACGGGAAATTTGACATTTTCAGGTTTTCAAATATCAATTTCCCCACCCTTGGATCTCCATTATGAGTCAAATCAGGAGCCCATCAAATGGAGCCTCCATCTCCCATACAAGCCCTTGGAGTCAACCCTTTCCCGAGTAGATTTATAATTAGAACGGTTCCCAGGGGAGACATCGCGCGCCGACGGTGGGAAGAGCCAATCACAACGAAGAAATCACACTGCTATTGTACTTCATCAAACAGCAGGAAATTCGTTGTTGACAGGCCAAACACAATCATAAGCTAGTGAAACGTGACTTAAGCGTTTTCATCCCTCAGAGATTTTCTTTTTTTTTTCTTTCTAGCGGGTAGATTATACTGTGGAGAGTTTTAAACTCTGACTATGTTAATCTTAATTTTGGTTGCTTGTCTCATATTAAGAAGCCATGAAGCTGGTCTGTTACATGGATTGCATAATGATTAACTACTACCTGCAGTCTGTAGTTCTGACAGGATTCGTTTTCTTTAGCCAATTTTTTTGAGCGTTAAGGTTCTTATTTTGGCTAAATGACTCAATATTAATCAAATTTCTAGTTTTTCAAGGTTTTTTTTTCCGAAATGCGTTTATCTGAATTAATACTTGTAGTCCTTGTGGTTGTTTTGTCCGTCAGCTAGTGTGATGATTCCCTGCTATGTTTTGTAACGCCGGGTCCAGCCATTGTCTTCTCGCAAAAAGTGATCTACCGATGCAAATTCGAAGGAAGGAATATAATTGAGCCTAAACTTCTACATTAACTGCTGAGAATTATCCTGTTAGTCAGTCATAATTCTTTTGGCGCAGATACAATGCATTTTGCTTTTCTTGAGATAAGTGGGTCTTTGGAATGGAGCGCAATGTCACAAATTCCTCCGTTAGCAAATTACTTTTGAGTTAGCTTCACGGTCGAGCAACTGTTGTCTTCTGTTCAACTTTTCAAGTGCCAGTTTTATCCGGCAACTCTCATGGTGATACAAGTCAGTTGTAAAGGTAGACTGCAATTTCTCAAAATTCGGAACTGAAGCATTCCTCGTTAGTTGCTACTTAGGTCATCGCTTTTGCAAGCGGTGCTTAACTGGCGAAATCCACTCCACGGTGATGACAAAAATCAAATGATCCTGGCACTTTTTCGGCGCTGATCATCGAAAAGTTCCAAATCGTCCTCAGAACGCTTAATCGTCGACTCTTTTCAAGGTGCATGCTTAAATGTGGGATGAATGACGGCAAAAAAAATAAAACACTCGCAATTATAACCTTTCCGTGATCCTCAGTTCCTCCTTCCCATCGCTTCATGCTCAGTCTCAGTCGGGTAATTCATTACCTTTTATTTCATGATACCCAGATCCCAGCGGCTGTAAAATTGTAAAAATGGACGTAAAGGAATAAAGGAAAACGGTCGAAATACAGGCTTCTGAGTTCGACTTCATCCAATTTTATTTTTTCACGGTGACACACGAGACTCACGGAAATATGACACTTTTCGCGGGAAACTAGCCGTTCTATTTATAAATCTACTCTGGAAAGGGTTGACTCAAGAAATTAATGGGGATGGAGGCTCCATTTGATGGGCTCCTGGTCAAATTCCCACCACCCCCCCCCCCGAGGACCACATACCTTGCAACCTAATTTCAATGAATTATGGGCACTCACAGCACTTTATTGCTGCACTCAGCATCTCCAGAGAGTGGTTACTTGGTGACAAAATAATTAATGGTAGCTAGTTATTTAGCATGGTTGGAAATTTAACACACATTCTGTACTTGCCAAAAATACCGGCGAATTGTTTCACATACCATTTACAGCAACAGAAAATGTGCTCAGTGCCAGAATAAAATTATGTCATCATCAAGAAGGGTTAATGTCTGTCTGTTTGTAACTTAGGTCCTGAATTTCATTTAATTTGGCATTTGGAGTATACTAGCAATCTAATACAGAATTCCAGGACTAATTTTCTGTCTGTACACATGATTTTTCGATCTGTTGCTATATTGAAAAAACTTTTGGCTGGCTGGCAGCTAGTAAAAACATGTAAACTTACATAGTCATAGTCATACATTTTGGTATTCATGTAAATGAGGTTTTGTGCGAATATTTCCTCTCAAAGTTGAGGGACAAAATACCTTTTGTTACAATACTTAAAAAAAAAGATCCTATTCTTGGGGCAAACCATTGATAGGTGCATACGTGGTACTTTTCTTTGTGGACACAATGTGTGACTAAGGCCTGGTTCAGACGCCAAACTTTTCATGCGCTGAACCTAACTGAATAAGTCCGACTTTGGAGCAACACTAGTGTGACATCTGATTCAGACGGTACACCTTGTGTCAAGCCTAAGCTAAGTTTGAACTTTTGATGCACCAAACACTTTTGCCGCACCAAACTAAAACTGCTGTACCAAACTGCTCTTTTCCATACATAATTCATCAGTTAGGTTCGGCACATGAGTGGAGCCGTGTCTGAACCAGGCCTAACACTTAGTTTTTGTTCACAATAAATAATTATTATTGATTAATATTGCAGGTGCTTGAAGACTCCTCAGATGATTCAGAATTAGAAGTGGATGTTGTGGAAATCTCTGATACTAATAGCGAAGCAACCAGAAGTCCTTCCTCACCCAGTAAAAGACCATTAAATCGCCCTCAGAGAAAATCCCTGGACACATCAAAAGGTGCTAAAATGAATGTACCATACAGTCAACCCTCCTTAATATGGACACCAAAGGGACAGAACCAAGTGTCTGCGTCGCTGAGGTGTCTTTATTATGGAAGTATAAACTACCGGTACATGTATACAGTGTATAAATTTTTTATCTCTAGGATGCAGGGTCATTTTTGTATGCAGCAGGTCACAATTATTTTTCTGACCAATAGGTCACACTTCACCTTCGAGTTACAGCTGTATGTAGCACACAGATGACCTCAATTACCCCTTCTGAGCAAAGTTTCATTTGACTACAGGGTGCAAAAAAAGTCATTTTTAAAGCTTGCCATTTGAGCAGGCTGAAGCTAACATTTACTAGCCTAAACATCATTCCAACTAGCCCAAAAATATTTTGATGAGCAGAATTGATTTCACAGTTCTTCTGTAATTTGAATTTCTCTAAAAACTTCACTTGCCCACCGAGCAAGTTAAGAACAAAATTCACTAGCCCGATAGCAAAATCCATTAGCCCCAGGCTATTGAACAGTACTTTCTTTGCAAGCTGGACGAGAAAAAATTAATTGATATAATGATTAGCAATGACTAGGGCATTATCCACTCTCCTTGTTTACAAAAATTATTGAATCACACAGTAGTTTGTATCTGGTGTTCAGAATTATCGCTTTTCTTACTTATGGACATTATTATGGGCATGACAAGACTGCATAGTGTTTCATTTTCTTCAGAAACTGTAAACACAAAAATGATAAATTCGTAATTAATGTTACAGGATGGCTTTATGGTAAACATAAACTTTAAGTCAAACTATTTGTTGTTTCTCTCTCTCCTTTCTTTCTTAAGTACAACAATTTGTTTATTTTGTTTTGGTTTTTGGTTTTCAGGGAAAAGGAGGTCGTCTAGGTTTATCACAAATAGCATTCCAGAGGACATAAAAAGGTGCTATGTGTGTCATGGATTTGAGGATGAAGTAACCACAGAGTTGTTACAGTGTTCAAAATGCTCTGCTGTTGGTTAGTAGATCAATAATATTGCAGTGCAATAATAATAATGCACTGCAATATTAATGAAATGGAACTACCTATCTGCTCAATCCTTCCAAAATTTACAGAGAAAAGTGATCCTAAAAAAAAGGCACATGACTAACTTAACATTTCCCTTGTACTTCTATTAAAACATTTAGGTTTAAATATAAATAATTTATGTCATTTTGGCCGGGAGTAAATACATTGTACATTGTAATTGTAGCTGTTGTTACAGAACAAAATTAAATTCAGGTTAAATTTTTTAAACCTAGGTTGATTTTCTATTTCCTTTGTCTCATAAAATTAGAGCTACAGTGTAGGAAACAAGGGAAATTGAGAGTCAACCTAGGTTAAAAAATTTTAACCGGTATAATTACAGCTGTATAATAATATTTTTACCCGCAACATACATGTCGCCACCATAATGTTTGTCTGTATTTCTTCTATTGAGTAAAAAAAATAGATGTTCAGATTTTAATAACAACAACCGCCACACAAGCAGAGGGTGGTCTTCCTGTGCTGTCAATAGCACTTTACTAATTGAATTTTGACCACATTATTAAGAGCTTTTTCTCCTTTACAGTGCAAATTATTTGTTCAGCGTTAGTAGTGTCTTCTTCATTTAGTTTTTACTATTAACTTGCTCTTCCTTCTGTCTAGCTCACAGGTTGTGTCTGAACCTTTTCAAAGATTCTTGCCCCTTGTTGGACAGCTCTTCATGGTTTTGCTACAAGTGTAAATTCTGTTACTTGTGTAAGGCAGTTCATGGTGAGGTGAGAACCAGACTAATACATGATTGTATCTCGTAACCCTTCAAACCCTGCTATCACAATTCAGATTCTCATTTGCTGCCCCGGCCTATATGTTTCCCATAGAAGTAATGGAGGGTATTAATTTTATTGAAGTACCGTAAACCCTCTATTAAGCCCCTCCTCTCAAATAAGCCCCCTCCCTCTAATACCACCCCCCCTCCCTTTTCAGGGGAAGAAAGTTAATGAGCCCCCTCTCTATTAAGTCGCCCTCCCTCTCCTCTCCTAATTATTCTTCACTAATAAATAGTCTGTATTAATCAAACACGACTGTTTAAAACTTCGTGTGAACTGATCTGTGATGGTTTATTTATCAACTGGAAATTCGGATTTGATTCTGATCATCGGCTTTATGACCTAAAACTTCTTTACTTGAGCTTTTCTACTTTGTATTCTAGTTCGTTATGGAGAACTGATACCATCATTATTTCTAAATTAAATAGGCCCCCCCCCCCCCAATCTCTATTAAGCTCCCCCTCAAATGGACTTGAAATAAATAAGCCCCCTGAGTAGGTACGATATCAATTACACTGTAGATTCCTCTTGTGTAATCATGTGCTTTATTCCCATCACCAAATTGTTTTGTCAAGCACTCATATTTTACTATGAGAAATTTGGTGTTGATCACTCTTACATTGTAGGGCTTAAAGGAATAAACAGGCATCACAAAGCTTAAATAAAGATTAAGCAAAATGTTTATGTTCAATTTTTCCCATCTTGCACCAAGAGACCCTTTGTACAATCATGTACAATCAGTTGAGAAAACTTACATGTTTACTTTTAATATTACATTCAACAGGGAGAGCTGGAATCTTGTAGCAGCTGCGACAGAGGATTTCACTCAACGTGTGTTACTCTTAAATTGAAGGGTGTAAAACCTGCTCTCAAAATGTGTCACGAGTGTTCATTAGTAAACAATGGCGATATGATTTTACAGCCAGATATCTCAGAGGTTATTAAGAAAAAACGTGGCAGGCCAAAGATTATACACTCAGAAAGTGAGACATCTCAAACTGATGTTGAATTAGAAAGAACACCTAGCACCTCACGTAAGACCAATTTAAAAGGACAGTGGAAGTCCACATCAAAGAGATTTCAACCATGCCCCACACCTGACTGTGATGGAAAGGGTCACATGACAGGCAAATTTGATAAGCATCATACTCTTTCTGGTTGTCCAAAACATCATAACATGACAGCAGAAGAATGCAAGGTTTGTGTTAATCAATAGTACATCACATAGCTGCTGGGTCATGAATACATGTACCTGTATGCTGTATTGTTTGGAAACTTGATACTGACAAGCTTTTAACCATCTTAAGACGGTGGTATCTTATTTTTGAGTGATTTTGTATATACATTGTACATGTATATTGCAAATATTGGGTCTTTAGAGAGATTCTTGTCCACAAGAATTGAATAATCCAACTGTTTATAAGTACCTGTGGCTAAAAGTACGTGTACAGTACCACTCAAAAGTAAGTCACCAGTGTCATCTTGTTTCTCGTGAGACGAGTGTCTTTTGTGATTACGAGCTCACTGAAGTTCAAGCTTTTTGTCCGGAACTATTTTTCTTAGGACACACACATCAATACAGGTGAATGATTTGGGATAAATGCAACTTGCATAACATGAAGCCTGTGTTTGTTATTTTTGTGCTTCAATATATTTCATCTTTGATTAAAATTTTATTTTCCTTTGTTTGAAAATCATTAAATCTTATATTACCATAACCAAACTAACTAAAATGGAATTTGAACTGAGGTTTTAATTTTGATTTTCCCACAGGAGAAAGCAAAAGAAAAAGAGAAGGAAGTGGGCACCCCACTGGAACCTTCAAAAGTGCGAAAGACTAGGGCTAGCACATCACCAAAGGTTCTCCCCAAGAAAACTCTCAGAAGCAAGGTCAGTATAATGTCAACTTACAACTGATGATGGTAACTAATGAAGTAAAACAAATAAGTAGATGTTGATACACTGTGCATGTACATGAACTTAAATGCACTCCACTTACATCATGGATCGAGGTCTTATCCAGGCACAGGTAAGTTGCACAATGCCGTGTTAAAGTTTGTTTCCTTTGGACCTACCTAACCTGTGATCAGGTATTGACTGCCTGATCGCAGGTTAGGACGTACCTGAACTTGTCGGATCCAGCGTGGATATAGCATAATTATAAAACAGTGCTGGTGAGGTACAAAGTAAGGCTTTATGGTCACACTATGAAAGTCATCCACCAAGCCAGTTGGGGAGCAGTGTTTTCCCCGTACGTCATATATTTTGTTGTCATGTTTTAATTGGACTCTAATTTCAAGCCTAGCTTAAGGAACTGGAATACATTAACTTTACGTGAACTAAATGCCCTCCACTTACATTGTAGATCAAGGTTTATCAATGCATGGCTGTCTGTGTCCTCTATGGATGTCCAGTATTAGAGTTAAAAAACCAATCAATAAATAATAATAATAATAATAATAATAAATAGCCATTATTTTTTAATACAGTATACCTATGTACATAGATCACATGTATTTGGGAGTCTCACTTGGATCTTTTCTGTGCACAAGTTTAAATTTGAGCCCCTTTCTCCCAAAATTCAAACAAGTATTTGACCATAGTGTGCTTTCTGCAGCAATTTTGCATGTGTTTCATCATTGACAACAGTACAGTTTGTATTATTATCATCATAAAGGCAAATTTTGATGCTCTGCAGTTCATGTAAAACTTTGTATCATGTCCTAAGCGACAGCCATGTTATTTGGGGACTGGGTAGATTTCTGATTTTGTGGGGGGAGGGGTTGATATGGGGATGGGTATTGCATACAGTGTAAGAAGGCAGTCTCCAGATTCTAGATCTGTAGTGGTTGGCACTTCTATATAATGAAACTCTATCTAACGAAGTCCTGGGTATAACGAAGGATTTTCTTTTTCCCAGTCATAATATACATGTATATGAAAAAGAACCTCAGTACGACAAAACCTCTTTACAGCGAACAAATTTTGCCAGTCCCTTGGCCCTTTGTTACAGGATATCGAGGTTCCACGGTAAAATTATGTACGTGTATTCCTGTAGGTCCAGCTGTCCTTCATGCCAGAAAAGATCCGTGCTGCCGTCACAAGCAAAGAAATAACACCTGAAGAACACAGCATAAGGAAAACTCATGGGCAACCAAGCACTGGAAGTGCCATATCCAAAGACCGTGTGTCCAGTGCAGCTGCTGAACAAGCAAGTGACTCATATACTAATGGCATGGCAGTATTGGATAACCTAGATGAAGAGGCACTTAAAAAAATAACTTCAGAAGGTGATTTGAAGATGTTCAAAGATGCTTGGGCAAAAGCTGTACAGGCCAATGAAGAAGTGAGGTTTTGTTTTTTGTCACAATTATTGTAATTTCATGTAGAAAGGAAAGAGCTCTTGGACTGAAATCCTAGTTGGTTTATTCTAGTGCACTAATATAAAAGCATAAAAAAAGTCTCGCAAGTGAAAACAATAATGATTGTATTATATAAACACCAATGGAATACACTGTACCAGGTGAGCTTTTATGCGAAAACATGACACAGTCATGCACACTGTATCTTTACAAGTAAGCTCTCTAGATGAGCCCTTTAGGCTCTTAGAGCAAATGTTGCAATAAATATTGTTTATTAAAAAGAAAAAAAAAAGAAAAGATCACCGTTGCTATTATTAATAGTTACACGATAAATCGGCCTTTCACAGCAACAAAACATTAAAGTGAAATGGTTTGGTATTTCATTGGTGTTTATATAATAAAAAGAACATTACATTGCCGCTTTGGAGATACCAAATTTCGCTGTCATGTTGAAAAATAATTTCAACACTTGAAGAGAAATTTCGTATCTCTGCATGGCCATAAATGCGATAACCTCTACTGACTTACCTAACAAAAACAACATGTATTTATTTCTTCTTCTTCTTCTTCTTCTTCTTCTTGAATTAATTATGCTGCCGCTTAGTGTGTTAGTTATTTACTGTTTATCTAACTGACCTGTACCTGCAATTCAGCTGTAGGCTGTGGAAGGCATCCTTAAACAAGTCTTTCATTCATTCACTCTAAGCGCTACTGAATCGTAGTCAACAGTTACCAGCACCATACAAACGACTCACTGACGGATTCAGCAAAACTAACTATGGGAGAATGACTGAACAACCGACGATTTGACAAACAATAAATGACTGTGTAACTGTGACAATAGACGGATCGAAATGCACCAATAACATTGGGTCTTCATAGCCATCATGGCTTAACTGACAGACAACCAATAACATTGCAACTGATTGACCAATCAGGTTAAAAGACCAGAGTTTAATACCATCAACTGCCTTGATACCACTCACTTTGACACTGAAGATGACTACCTCACAGGTTGTCAAAACGTCCGTCATTGTCAACAACAGTCCTATTTAGGGCTACATTCTCCCGGACGATCGCAGGGTAACTCAAATGACTCCTGGGTGCAAACCTTCCACAGTAGGTTTCTAGCGATACTCTGGTATTATCATGTTACTTTTTTTGTCAGGAGCTGTTGCCGTTAAACAATAGAAATGGATGTCGCTGTATTGAATTTGGTTCATTTGAGATTGACACATGGTACTCTTCTCCATATCCTGAGGAATTTCAGCGGCTTCGGAAAATATACATCTGTGAATTCTGCTTGAAATATATGAAGAGCCAGACTGTGCTAAGACGACATGTGGTATGTAAAAGTGAAGTAAAATCTTGCTAGTACAAGTTGAACCTGGACGTAGTAAAATGGGAAAGTAAGCCACCTTTTTCCCAAATCAAAAATGAATCCCTGCTAAGGCCAAAAAATTTCGTTTATCCTCCCACCCTAGAAGGGGTTGCCTTGATAACCCTTTCAGCCTTACTGAGGGGGTGGGGGATGAGACAGTTAGTGAATTTTATGGTTTTCTGTTTGTAGCCACTTTATCACAAATCTTAAGTCGCACAACAAGAAAAATAGCTCTCAGGAGAGAGTATGACTTGTGTTTACAGTTTTTGATATGTGTATTGTGCACTTGCCATTTTATCTTTTTTGTATGTCATATGAACATGAAATGTAACCTGTTTCGTCAAAGAAGATAAAGTGTGATTTCATGCATGGAAGAAAAAAGTTTGATGCATTAGGTTGCACTTCACCTTCTTATCAAAAAGCACGCCGATGACAAGCGTGAAAGTGGAAACAAAGAGTGACTTCTTGCATCAAGAACAAAAATGTATAGATTTTTTTTGGACAACGACAGGTCATGTTTATTTTTCTGACATAGTAGGTCACACATCACTTTTACGTTACATGTATGTAGCATGCCAATGCAGTGACCACAATTACAGTGTACCCCTTTTTTGCAAAATTTCTTTTGACTAGAAAAAAAAAATTGATAAAAGGACAAGCAACTAGAGCGTAATAGACTCTACTTGTTTAAGCGAACTGAATCAAACTGTATTTTGTATCAGGGCTTGAGAATTATCACTTTTCTCGTGGACATTACGGACATTGTGGACATTATGGACTTACGACATGCCTGCATAGTGTTACAGTTTCTACGGAAACTTTCAACACAAAAACGAGTAACAAAAAACAAACAACACAATAAACAAGGCAAGAAAAAGGGAGTTTAAAGAAATTACAAAATGTTTGCTAATCCGATTTTCCAAAAAATGGGTGGATTTGAATCAGCCTGTTTCTTACGGAAGTTTGTACATTGTACAAGGCAAGGACTCTCCCCGGTATGTTGCTGTTTTCTTCCCGATACATTTCTGTGGTTGCCTGTGCAGTTGGGAAGGCAAAAACACAATAATGTATAATTATGTTGTAGTTAATTTTTTATCTCAGGTAATTTTTATTTTTCTTTTGTTGAAACTCCATTAGCATACATTAACATACCCAAAAACAAAAGAAAAATAAAAATTACCTGAGATAAAAAATTAACTACAACATATACATTAAGAACACGAAAAGTGAAAAGGCATTTGTTGGGTAAGGCTTTTGGCAAAGGGTTGGGTATGGTATCGCATTCTCTGTCAACGGTTGTCGGCCAAAATGTAGACCCTTTCTTTTGTGCGCTAACCAGTTCACATGTATGGGCAACTTTTGTGAATTACTGTAAAACTATTATTTGGTTATTTGATGTGTGAAATGTTAGGCCAAATGTAACAGCAGACATCCTCCTGGAGTTGAAATCTACCGAAAGACTGGACTTTCCATATTTGAAGTAGATGGAAAAAACCACAAGGTCAGTTAACCCCAAGGGTGATAATAATAAGGCAAGAAGGTAAAAAAGACATGAATAATCCAACCATGGATAATAGAAAGACAGTCTTTCTATTATACATGATCCAACAGCCAATAAACTGTTGTGTTCTTTGGCCATCCTAAACTTGAATTGCAATACGGAGGTCATCTTTTCATGTTGGGATGCATTAGAGTGCCAACAAACAAAACACTCCCAATTAAGTTTTCTTCATGGAAGCTACTTGTAGCTTTTGCTAGCACTGCATTATCCTAAGTTTTACATGTTTAAGCATTCTCGATTAAAAAAAAAATAAACTGCCTTTATTCTAAAATTTGTACTTACATGTAAAGGTAGACTATAATTATTTACAGACAACTAGTGGGGATTTATGCTATTTCAATGGCTGTCATAATTGTGTATATACATGTAGGGTCTGTTTTGACTCATTCATTTGTGTGATTGCTTATTTTCAACTCACTAGGTTTACTGTCAAAACTTGTGTTTGCTGGCCAAGTTGTTTCTAGATCACAAGACCCTCTACTATGATGTGGAACCTTTCCTGTTCTATGTTATGACAACTGCAGACTCAACTGGTTGTCACATGATCGGCTACTTTTCAAAGGTACATTTAACAGCTCTTAGCCCTTTCTTTGATAAAATAGCCGTGAACCCTAACGCATTCGGCATGTAACTTCCAGTACTATCATTAAATGCCTGAGGTAGGGGATTCCCCTGGCTACAAGAGATACCCCAGAAATGGAATATGTAACCCAAGAAAAAAGGACAAAAAGAGAACAAAAACAATTCCCAGGGACTGACAACTTAAAAAAAACCAACAAAGCTACTTTTGGTATTAACTCGATAGCAACTGACCCTTAGCCACTTTTGAAAAACACCATGATACTCTCTAATGGGGTACTCGGCCTCAATGAGGAAGTCGTATTCCAGTCTCCTTTGTTACAATGAGACAAAGACAATGAGGGTATGTATAGTCAGCTTCCAGTAGAACGGACATTGCAGGTTTTTGTGTTAAAGGAATCGTTATTAAGGCTTAATTCTAGAACAAATAGAAAGCAGCATTTTGAGGGCAACAAGTAATCACAGAAACTAATAAAAGTGGTTCGTACTCACAACAAAACACAGTGTAACACTCAGGCGTGTATGTCTTGCACCTACTAATTAGTTGAATTTGTACTTAAATTTAGACTAATAGCTTTTGCAATACTGTAATTCCTTTATGGTCATGCAAATAAAGCATTTGTTGTTGTTGTTGTTGTTGTTGTTGTTGCACTACCCAAACTTGCACTTCAAAAGAGTATTGTGGTATTTTTTCGTATATGCTTGTAGCTTGTAGTAGTAGCTAGGCGTATAATAGTTTACTGGCGTCAATGTCCGATACTTACTTTTTTATGGGTTTTATATGTACTTCACTGCCACTTTGGCTGGGACCTAAATGTTAATATTTATTTGTTTTTTCTACTGCAGGAGAAAAAGTCGTTTTTGAATTACAATGTCTCCTGCATATTAACTTTACCAATCTACATGAAACAAGGATATGGCAAAATGCTGATTGACTTTAGTAAGTGATGTTACACTGTATGCGTTGATCTTAACTAGGAGAGAAATTTAACTTAATTCATTGGCAAATGATCTTTCAGAAACTTTTGTTGGAGCTTAAACACAGCCAGAATCCAAAATTGTTTGTAAATCTGAATCTTAAACCAGCACAAAGCTGTTTTTTAAATTTCAATACGACTTGCAGCGTAAGATTGTAAATCTTAATATTTTACTTGCACAAAGCTGTTTTGTGTCTCACAAACACAAAATTTTATACAAATTTTAAATCGTTAAAAACGTCCGTTGCCTTAAATATCTAATGTTTTGTTTTCCCATTTTTCTTACAGAGAACCGTTAACAAAGCCTTAACTTAACTCTGATCCACCTTGTATTTTGCAGGTTATCTTCTATCAAAAGTTGAAGGAAAAGTTGGTTCCCCTGAGAAGCCTTTGTCAGATTTAGGTCTTATTAGTTATCGAAGTTACTGGAAGGGTATTTTGCTTAAATACCTCAAAAATTTTGGTTTTGACATGATCTCAATTAAGGGTAAGAAAGTCATTGCATCCGGGCCTCTTACTTAATTTGAGTTTCGCTTTCAAACGAACCTATTTTAACTACAAACGTTCACTCCAAATTACGGCTTCGTAAGATTAAAGAGATGTAGGGCATACTGTTTAGTTCGCTACATCATATTTGTCACTGGAATTCGTGCACTGTTATGGCGTGGTTTCTTCAGCTGTTCCTCGTGTTTCAGAAGAATGTAGTTATCACTGCCCGAAAAAGAAGATTATCCTGGGAATTCTTCGGGCATTTTCACTGTGGTAATAAGCAACGCCATCTGCATAGCGAAACGCCCCTTTCGCGATTATGAAATTAGAGACAAAGTGCTTAAAGCTACTGCTTGGTATGATCCCCGTCGGAGTTGTAATTTTAAGAAACGATGAAATCTCCTTGATTTTATAGAGATCATATAATGTATTCTCCTAGGAACACCATTTTGTCCTCCGCTTTCTCACAGACCCACCCAAGAATATCCCCTGCCAAGTGTAATTGTTAGTGTAAAAAGACAGTCACCGCCTTCTGAAGAGTTGTGTTGGAAAGTGGTAAAAAACGCGCATGTCGTTTCCTTTTATGCGTAGATATTAGTCAGGAAACAGCATTGCATCCAAGTGACATTGTCAGTACCCTGCAGTATTTGGGTATCCTGAAGTATTGGAAAGGGAAGCATGTCATCTTAAGAGCTACGGTAAGGCAACAAATACGACCCAATGTTTAACCAGGGACCACACTACACAATATCCAACTGTAAAAGGAACCTTAATACCCTTAAATGTACGAGTTCCTCATTTGGATGAGTCCCCTTGTTATTGTGCACAAAGGCAGCTTACAGTAGACTGTAGCTGTTTTGTGGTAAAGAAATCCTTTCGACCCAATTCGTAAGTAACTGGAAGGTCACATTCGAAACTATTAACTCGCTACCCACTGACTGCATATTTCTAAGTAAAATCTTATGGCCTATTTCCATTGCACAATAGGAATAATTATGTTTCCTGTTTTTAGGACCTTTTTGATGACTATGAGAAGAAAGTTGCAGCAAGGCCACCTGAATACCAAGAGATAGATCCATCTTGTCTTTCGTGGGTTCCACCAACTGCCCAAGATGCAAAGCCGTAGCGTGTAGAAGCTCAGCTTTGAGGTGGATTTTCAAATTACCATTAGAAATTAGGCCAAAGGATCATCGTACTACATCTTTCCTTTAAATGGTCACAATTCTGTCATCCAGTAACAACAAGTGAAAAAGTATCGTCAATTTTTCTTTTACAATGTACGCAGTTAGTGAGGAAAGACAAAAACATAACAGTTTACTACTTTTAATGGTGAACGAAAGCCTATCCTCCACCCCTTGAAAGTAAAAAAATGACAAATTTGTGAGGGTATTACAAGGCACCCTGCGACATGGTCCACCCGGAAGAAAAGCAAAGTCAAAGGGTGAGATATACACTGTACTGGAACTGCGTGCGCAAGAACCACCCTCGTGAATTTTTTAAACCCTGTTTATATAAATTCCCTCTTGCCCGCCATCCTCATTAGTTTATGTTCACAAGCAACAATGGAAACATTTTATGCTTCGTGGCCGAGTCATGGCGACTACACAAATTGTTCGTCTCTGAATGGCGCAAAAAAGACGAGGTCCAAAAGCAATAGAACTTTACCTCAAGAAAGGTAATTATACGAACTTAGTTTTAAACCACACCTGTGGCATTGTGGATCCAGTTCTCCTTCAATGTTACACAAGTGCGATTAACATCAAACGTGTATAAAAATGACTATATTTGCAAGGAGTTTATAAAAGTTTATTCCATCACCAACACTAATCATTACTTACGCATAAACCGATCAAAAGCGAAAGAACAAAAAGTTACTATATACAAAAGGATTCTTTTTTCCCCGAAAAAGCTTCTTAAAGCCCTAGTCTTCCGATTCACTCTTTTTGTTCCATGGGATTGCTCAGAGATGGCAAAAAAGGAACGGCACGGACAATGCTGGAAGGGGACATTTTCCCTACCTTTCTCTCCATTATTGTTCTCTCTGTCCAAAAGGATGAAAAGCTATTGCAAAGGAGAGAGCCTTCTTTTGGTCTGTTCAGCATATTGTGACTTGATATGTTTGTGCTGATACAGCAACTGCAAGAAAGGTCTCAGGCTTACTGAACTTCCTTTAACACAACCCTGGGCATAAAGGTTTGTCTCAATAAACAAACTTAGGGTCTAACACGAGATTCAACACCTGTCTGTGCTTTGGACTCCAACAATTAGTGGCGTTTAATAGCCTTCAATTCGCCCCTCTAAAGGAAATGACTAAGAATATAAGTAGGTGCTGTAAAAGAACTGTTGAGTGTGCCTTAGCACAGCACTGAGATAATTCCATCACAGGTTGTGAGAAGTAGCTGGGGCGCTTACCAGCCCGAGCGGTAACTCATATTAAGCATCTTCAGTGACAGCCCCAGACAAACACGTTGCCTACACCTAAATGATAAGTGCAAAAGCTCCAGTTTGGTTAAAGGTGCCATGTTCGTGTAAATTAATCTGCCATCTATCTATTTCCCAGTAGCTTTGGAGACAAAAACAGGCAAGTCTTTGTACCTTAAGAAAATGATGAGGATTATAATTGCTGCTGGAGGACACTTAACATCTACCTAGACAAAGCACGGATGTAGTTTCCTAGAGTTGAAAATGTTGCTGGAGCGCTCACCAACCCAAACGGCAACTTTCGTAAACCCAAGATAGTTTTTTTCGCAAGTCGCTGTTAAACCAAAGAAAGTCCGTATGGCTTTTAAAACTATGATCAGATAAGACACAGTACAACAGGAATATTAAAGTTTAAACTAACAACTAGATACCGTCGAATATAATCATTATCAACCCCTTTCATTTAGAATTGCACCCTACACAGATCAAACAATTTGTCTATACACTTTTCGATAAATGTTTTTTTTTCTTGCTTTTTTCTTGAATGTACATCTCTAGTTCTGTCCTCCATCTGAAAAATAATAGTATAGAAAAAAACTCAGCGTGCAAAGTTAGGCATCTGGCTCCTGGTAATAATTCCAGCTTGATGAAGTCCGTTTCATATTAGGGACATGAGATGGTTAAAGAGCGTGAAAAGAAGGATCTTCCTCGCAATCATGAAAAAATTGTTTGCTTAAAGAATCATTCAACAAGAGACGCACTATTTAAGTCACACCGTGGGCGAGTAGTTTGCATGACCTGTTCCACAAAGCTGGGCCGTTATATATTTAAAGAAAACAGCGATGCATGCAAATGCATTTGGAGTAGGATTTGCGGAATAATTATTAATAACTTACGCTGTCCAGACATGCACCTGTCCCTTGAGCAGTGCCAGTCTCCGTTGTCGCACTTACTACAAACAACATAACGGGTGTTATTAAAGCGCTGAAGTGAACAATTTTCTTGTAAATAACTGAATTTTGCTCGGATGTTCAGCACATGGTTTAAAGATGTACAGTTCTACATGTTTCAAAGGGTTTCTGATATAAATCAGTGGACGCGGTTTGAATCTTCAATAAAATGTCAAAGCCGTTTAATGATTGGACCAGAATCTCATTCAATCATTGGTGTGTTATTTATAAACCATCGACTTCTTTGTCCGTTGTGCTCTGTTTGATTTCAGTTGACACTTTTCATTTGCCCTCTAAAAGGTACTTATGAAAGTTAACGGAATAATTATTGATAACTTACGCTGTCCAGACATGCACCTGTCCCTTGAGCAGTGCCAGTCTCCCTTGTCGCACTTACTACAATTTCTATATTGTATGTATATTAATTATAGATAGCTATAAAATCCACAGTACAACTACAGCAGTTGGCTTTCCATAAAAATAGTGCGTCGCGTGATGTGACTCAAAAAACTGAAACACTCACCACAGTGTGCAGTTATCCTGCAGGGTTTTTAAATCCCCATGTAGAAACTTCTGCCCGTCAAACATACACCCTGACATTTCAAGTATAAGATATAAGTCTCATTAAAAACCATAAATTTATTATTAAGTAACTCCACCCTTTAAGTGATTCAGGACCTAACTTTCCGGGAATTTCTAGTCACCAGAGCCCATGGATCCACGAAGGACCAACGCTTGAAACTACATTTTGTTACCCTCTTGCATTAAACATGTTTTCGGGTAAATGTTCCGAGAATGTCATTGTGGCCATTTCAGTATATATATACAAAAAACGTTTCTAAATTCGAGGGATATCTTGCAAGTTCTTTACTGTTATTTTCTGGAGACCACACTTCGCAGATAAAATTTCTAGGTATGTTGGTGGGCAAATAATATTAACTGGCTAGTTTCTCAACAACATCTAGCAAAAACACCACAATCTAAAAACCACTGACAATAAGTCTTTCTGTGGACTAACTAAACTGTTGCGGAGATTCGTGATCTGCCTTCGCGGAGTTAGAAAGTTTACAAAACAAGAAGGACCTGTGAATACTACCGACAAGAACCACTCCATCTATTAGGGCAATGTATTAGTTTTAATATTTTTGCCCTTTTTCTCTTAAGTTTTTTTAATTAATTAATTGTTTGTTCCTGTAAACTTGTTTAATCTACGGAGAAAGAAATGAAAATTCTACCACCAACCAGGCTAGACTGACCGCCTTTAACAGAAACAGGGGGAGGTCTTGCCCAGTAGCTTTGTAATCTTGTTTCAAACCCTCTACAGCAAACAAACCCTATACAAGTGCCTACCTAAGGGTTCTTTTTATAGGATAATAATTGAGGTTTTCCATCGCATACTTCAAAGTTGGAATATGATTAGATATTTGACGCTATGCAGAATTTTGATCGTTTAAAGATGAAGGACCAACCACCCTCGACGTGGCACGCATACGCACACAAACAATACGCACGCCTCTCTCACCTTGCTCAACCTTCACCGGACAGACGGGGCAACAGCGCTGTTCAATCTTCATGGGCGCTTCACAGTATACTGGGGGACAGCTCGTTACAGTGCAAACTGGTTTGCGGTCATCTCCACAGTAACACGATGTGCATTCGTCCCTCTGCCATAGCTCAGCTTCCCTGTAGTATTTCTTGGTCACAGTATCGTAACACTTGCTCGTAGATTTCACAACTACGGAACGAAATACGGTAAGCTCGGAAATAGTGTGGAAACGACTGCGACAACGTTCGAAACAATTAAATTTAAATACCCAAACGGAGTAATCACTTTAAGTAAACACTGAAAAACCTACCATTTTCATCCCTGCACTTAGGGCAACAATTGCTGTTGTCTATAAGGAGATCTTTGCACTGTGGGTCTCTCTCACACATCTGCAGAGCACACGCTGCCTTGCCACTTTTTCCACAGTAACATGTTGTACACTGGTCCAATTGCCAGCTCTGACCCACAAGGTAATACTGACCCGAACGGATGTCCTGACATACATCTCGTTGGCGGCCATGATTGATGCTCACTTCAAAAAAGAACAGCTTCAGTTTTATGAAAGACATGGAAACGCTAGTGCAGTAGTGTTGGTTGGGTACGAAAAAGGGTTAATTTGCCACTTAAAGGAAAACAAGTTACGCCAAAGTTAACTTATAGCTCAGTCAATTCCAAGCTTTTTTCATCCCTCAGGCATCTGCCAGGTTTCGAGTTCGCATGGTTAAGCATTTGTCATCAAAGATCTGTCCGGTAGTGAGGCATGTTGTTTGGTGTAGAATGAATGCAAGAAGAAGAAGACTTAAAGGTGGTGGTGGCGGTGGTGGTTTTACTTGAGAATGGAAAACGAATAAGGGGCGTAGCTGCCTTTAAGCCATTAAGCCCAGTAATCGCATGTTTACAAGTCATAAACGAACGTAATACAGGCACTAATGTCCGTCGCGGTGATGGGCATGCAAAATTGGCACGTAATTCACTTGGAAAATCTGTCGCCGAACTCCGTTAGTTTGCCAAGTAGATACGTTATAAGACCAGGTTCCCCATTCTTTAATCACCTGCTAAAATCATGTAGGTTATAAACTCGTGATTTAATTTAGGTGGACTCAGCTCGTCACAGCGCGTTCGTGAACGTACTCGGAATAAGTAAAAAGGGACCCAACTCTAGAAATCACCTGTTTAGGCAATTCATCGCATCCTAAAATCTCCAAATCTCGTTAAATACGGTATTAAGATGCGTGTAGCATTGCAGTGATCCAAGACACCTGGTGAGAAATGACATTTGTAACAAAATTTCCGGTATGCCTTCTTATTCCGGACTAGCGTTAATCGAATGCACCCTAAATAACACGTAGTGGAAAACTACTTAATATCTCCGCCAGAGCTGGTGAAAAACCTTTTTGGTATTCTAGTAGACCGTTTTCTCCTCTTTTTGTTTTTTTTATTGTTTGTTCAATGCTGGAGACTAGCTTTATGAGATTGTCCACCACTTTGAAATACGAGGTAGCCAAGTGGCCCACTGTAAAAAATAAATTCATGCCCTGGTTAACGATGTTTATTTTGCATTGATCGACGTTAAAACGCAACTTCGAACAAACCAATCCATGTGCCGGGTTCTTCTTTTTTTTTTACTTTAACATGGATGCAAAAATTAAGCTCCCTTTGCAATTCAATTTTCAAATTTCCGAGTCAGTAGAAATGTAGTTGACGATTAATTTAAAATGAAACGGGCTGCCTCGTCCCTTACTTCCTTGATATGTTAAAAGACACACTAAACGAAACATTTGAAAAACTTCGCCTTTGTGGTCGTTTTTCTCCTCGCCATGTCAGTGTCCATTTCGAGTCAGCCCAAAGAGATGAAAAAGTTGAAAAAACACACTAAAAAATGTAGTTTACTATACTGGTAAAACGCGGGCTCATGCCCAGCTCGTTTACACACCAGCTAGTAAATGAAGAGAAATACTCACGATCCTACTGACCTGGATATATATACATGTGTGTAGAAGAGGTCTTTATCGGTAGAAGTCAAAAAGGCTTTACAAAACGGTCAGATATTCCTCCCAAATGCTGACTATGACAGTATGCCCTTTATCTGAAACGCTATTTTTAATAAAAAAGGAACTGTGCTTGTATGTCACCCCTCCCCTTCCCCGCCTCTTCCCCCTTTCCGACTAATACTTCAACTCGGGCTTAAAAGGAAAAAATGCTGGCTACGCCCCTGGGAATGAAAGGCAAATAGCGAAGAAAGTGATTTAACAAAGTACCTAGCACTGTATCCAGTTTGTTTCCGGCAAAAGCTTTGATAAGATCTGAAAAAAAGACCACCGTCAGTTCTGTAATAGGCTGATGGACAGTTTCCAGTCTTAAGTTTACATTAAATCATATTGTCGTGTATCGTTCCTTTAAAGGTGAGGGAGTTAGCCACAACTCCAGGCTGAAATGTTGTTTTATTGCCCCGAGATATGTGGAATGTAGTATACGACTACCTAGGCTATTCCCTGCCAGCACTGATGTCTTGTCCCTGGTTTTGGGCGGCGGGAGGAAAAGAGTCCATTTTCCTCCTGCCTGGCCAATACAAGGTAGCCTACGAGCAAGCTCTCCTACTTGGGCGAGCGAGCGGCGCTCGCGCGTTCTCGCGAGGCTTGCTTCGCTCGCCAAAATCGGAGAGCTTGCTCGCAGGCAAAATACAAGCGAAAAGAGGCCTCTGCTAGCAGGGAACGTAGACAAAAGTGGAAGGAGCATAACTATTACACGGTGTTTTGTTGGCTTGACCACCATTGACCGATAAATCACATGGAAATACCATAATTATACTTTTCAGTGTGTAGATGGTCGATAATCAAAAGTATGTAAAAGATTTATTACCTGCCTCGTTGTGGTCTGTGGAGGTTGGATCGACCAAAGGACACACGGGACAGCACTGTCCTTTTATATATATTGGCTCTTTACATTCCGGATGTCGACACACGGTTGCTAGGCATTCTTGCGTGCCATTACGACAAACACAAACGGTGCAGTCATTTGGTTCCCAGGTATCCCCCTCACCATAAAACTTGTTACTTGCTGAATCGTGGCATTTGGCTGGGAAGAAGAGGATTAATGATAATTCACCGTATATACCACTTATTAACCGAGAGTGAGGTCATTACAGGGAAATCCCAGACCGAGATAAATACAACAAGGCCGAGATATAGATCTGAGATTTCCCTGTAATGACCGAACGCCCGCGGTTAATGAGTAATTTATTGTATGGCCTGTTTTGGGCTATTCTTTGAATGAATCATAAAATTAAACCACCAGGAGTAATTTTTAACATCCGCGCTTAAGAGGTCGTTCGAGGTCGTGTTCACGAACCTAGCGATGCGCTCGAAACCACAAGACACAGTTTCTTTGACAATGAGAATTTTTTGTCCTGAGCCTGCGATCAATTAAAACTAATAAATGTTCAGCGGATAACTTTAAAAAACACGTCATCTCAAGGAGTTGTACACTTGAGTCCGCGATACAGTCATGTGACACTGGTCAGCGGATACCTTTTTTGACAGCTGCCAACTGATCGTCGCTGGATGTCCACTATAAAGTTAAACACAGATTGCCCATGCCCTGGACACCCAGCTAGTAATGCCAGGTCATTGCAACAAAATCGTACCCGCTTAGTAGCCAATCAGAGAGCGCGTACTGTTGTAGCTCATGTTTCACAAGCAATTCTGTAAGTCCTGGTGAAAGTGACCAAAAGGCAACCTTCCCGGTATGACAAACGCTTCATTGAAATATAAGACAGAGTCACAGAGAACATGATCTACAGAACGTTTGGTGGCGGGAGGCGGGGAACGGGTTGGGCACTGTCTGTTTCAGTAAGCCAAAAAACAATTTTAAAGGAAAATAATAGGCCGCTTTCCATTCAACCCAAAATTCCGGAAATTTCAAATGCAACGGACCATGTCGGTTTGGTCCGACCGGAAAATTTGGGACCAGCTTTGAAGGTGGTTCTCTTTGACCGGTCCGGTTATCTCTGTCAGTTGGACCGAAATGTTTCTCTCCATTTGTCAAAATTGTCGTCCCCAGTACCGCTGTTTTGTATCCTGCTTTCAAGAACAATAACCAAACGCGCGGTTGCTTGGGTCGGGTCTTTGCAACCGGAATGTACCGTTCCATTGGGCATGTGAAATCAGTTTCGAAATTTCGAACCGGGATTTTTGTTGAATGGAAAACGCCCCTAGTCTTGTTTCATAAGTAGACTATCGTACCAATATGAGACTTTTTTGCTGGTGGTACCACCGCTTGAGTTTCATCCTTTTTCTTCTTGGCCTCTGTAACAACAAAAATTTCATTTTCGTCGTCAAAACACTTTGAATTTGTTTTCACACGCCTTCTTATTTTGTAAATTCAGATTTTTAAACTATAGATCCAGCGTTTCTGTAATTAAGGTGCTGTTCTGAGGGAGAATGTAGCTAAGTTGAAAGATTACGACAAATGGCCGCCCTCGGTGAAGCTTACTGAAAAGGAAACAGTTTGGACAGAATAGGTGATACCTCTTCTTACAAACAAACTATTTTAAAACTAACTAAACAAAAGCTAAGGAGTAAGCATCTAGTACATACATTTACCTGAATTCTCTCTCTGTTGGTCTGTTTATATTTTTTCTGTAGAAGGAGTGGTCCTTTCATTGGATTTGGTATACCAAATCGGCGTCCTGGGGGTACTCCCTTACAAGAGGCTAATGGGGATGTGCCGCTAGATGGGATCGCGTTTTCACGACTAGTGACTATAATGGGGTCGCATTTTCGATAGAGTTACTAGAATGGGGTCGCAAATTTTCAGATTTTGGGGTAAGTAAGGATTCAAAATGGGAAGATTCTCGGTTAAAAAAATCAGAAAGTTGTTGTTTATTAAATTTAATAATAAGCTCGCATTGACCGCATTACATTCCGCCACTTGAAACCATATTGATAAGGTAAAAGCATAGATAGAAAGTGACTAAGTTGGGATCGCGAAAATTACACTTTCCAAAAAGTGACCGCCAAAATACAAAAAAAAAACTTTCCAAAAAGTGACTAGGGCGGGGTCTATAATTGGCCAAAAAATAGACTATAATGGGGTAGGGGCTCTGAGAGGCCAGCAGCACATACCCAGCAAACATTTAACCCAAGTACAGCCATGAATTGCAGGAAACGTCTGTTATTGAATTACTTGCCTATACTGACAAAGCCAAATTTTCTTATTCCTTTCCACGACAACAGTTTTCTGAAGGGCTAACCATGCCGTTTATCGGTTATTATTCATTTTATTTATCTTTTTATTTTTTTCATTGCCATTTGTTGTAAGTATAACTGAAGTTCATGAATTTCGCCTATTCTGCGAGTACAATCGCCTTTAATTGCATATCGGCCATAGCGACATTTTGCACAATGGAGAGAAACGTCCCTATGGCCGGGGAAGGACGAGAGACGGCTGTATCCGCACAAACTCAATTTCGGCCCGTTGCACTGACGTAATCAGCTTCAGTTGTTACATTTCTCAAAGAGAGTAGGCAATTAGCCCAGACAATGGAGCAAAGAACCCAAATTCATCATTAGATGTGTAAAACTGGTTTATTGACTTTTTACTGCACTTCCACTCTTTCATTTGTAATGGAACGACTACTGTGTTTTACATACAACCCAAGATGATTTCCACTGCATAAAGTCTATAGGACGTACATTTTGTACTGATGTGAATTATGTCTAATAACATCAGTGACCGTCGGTTTTAAAACTGTCTGAAGATGATCAATATCTCGTTCGCATTTACAGAGCGAGAACCAATAGCTGCCAATCAAAAACATCAACGGAAATACCCTTCTTCGATTTCAAACATTAGAAAATAAACAATCTTGGGTTGAATGTAAAGAAGATGACTAAAAAAAAAAGTGCTTTTCCTTCTAAGATGTGTGTTAAGTATGAGCTACTGGACGTTTTTCTTTTTGCTTTGTCATCTATTATATTACACCCCTGGGCATCAAGCGTCAACCTTTAACCCTTTAAGCCCTAAGATCAAAATTTGAATTCTCATTTTTTGTCCCTATTCATTTCCTACAGAAGTAGTGGGAAGAAGTTGATAAAATATCAAGTAAATTCATCTTGTGTGATCATGTCTGTAATTCTCATGACCACTCTGTTTTACAAAGCATTGATATTACAAGGAGAAACTTTATGCTGATCACTCTTAGGGCTTAAAAAGTTAAGGTACATGTGAGGTGGCTGATGGCGTTTGAGACTGTATGAATGTGGTAACTCAAATGAAATTTGTACACGGGACAAGGATTTTTTAATTCTTATTATTCTCCTCGTAGGAACAAACTTAGGAATGTAGTTAATCTGAATTTTGACCGTAAAACTGTATTTTTCATACGAGTACTTACACCTCAGCAAATTCTGTAATATATTTCTAACTTATTTGTCTATTATAATAATTCTGGTGTGAGTACTTGCTACTGAGAAAGGGTGCAGTTGACAGGGGTCGTGGATTATAACAGTACCAGGTCAACAGCAGTTTTTCTCAGCTCCCCATACACTCTCACTAAAACGAATCACAACTAAAGGCCCTCCTAGAATAACTATTTTACTTCCAATAACAAAGTCAAATGTGTATTGGCAAAAACGGCATCTGCATGACGTGTAACCAAACTTTTCATGGCACGAAATATGGAAAAACGAAACAGTACCAATGGAGGGTACCGAGGAAGAAGTTCCACTTAAATACTCACATTAAATCATGTCATCTGCGGACAAGTGGAGTTAGATATAAATTGCAAAAATCAAAATACCAGGGCCTAATTAGGAGTGATAGAGTTTTATGAACAATGAATACTAAACGTGTTTGCCATTATTATAAACATAATCCTCGCAGCCGTGATGAAAGCATGGTGATCACAGCATCTACGAAAACTTCATCCTTTGGAATCATTCAAACATGCTGTGTCTCCAGCGCTTCCATAACCATTCGTTGCTTCGGCAACTGAGCTGCCCCTTATTACCGCGAAGATCATGTCACCTTTCTATTTACTAGCTAAATTAGTAAGTAATCATTTTACCCTTCAACTTTCACAAACTCATAAGCTGTATTTTTATGAAGGTTTGTGGAAAGATAGTTCTAGTAGAGAAGGAGTGTGTTTTTCTCACCTGAGGTGGAAGATGGCAAGCTAGACCCTGATGTGGTAGGAGGCAATGTTGAAACTGTTGGGGAAGAAGAAGAAAAACTACTCTTAGATTAGATTGTTCACGTCTAATTTTCTTCTCACTTAACGCAGCTTGTAAGTTTGTGATAGTTTGGGGAAAAACGTAACTGGATAATAACATTTTATTTTATTTATTAAAACACATTTTTATTACCCTATATTCTGAGCAAGTATCATTGAACTGATCTGTCATTTAATATAACTGTTATCATCCTTGTCGTTACCGTCATATCATAGACCAAAATTCGTCATCACTATCCCCATCGCCACTTACATGGTCATGACAAATGTACGTGGTCAAAGGATCGCCTTTATCGCAGTGAGCATCGTCATCATCATCACAACCTCCACCATCACTCCACTATCATCAACGATGCATTTATTAAAATGACTACAATAAGAATATTATCACGTTCGTGATAGTCCACAATAACCAGCGACCAAACCCTGTTAGCCCATATGGTTTTTTCTCAAGCATATCAAATCAGACATGACAAAATATCACAACTGGCCATTTTTAATTGAACTGCAAGTGACACTGAGTCGATGGTGTGTCGAAATGCATTATGGGACTGTTTTGGGGGAGGTGTTGTTTTTTCTATGGGCTGTTAAAGGAGCTTTGAAACGGCTGTCTAGTTCGAAATAATATTCACTGCTTTCACATTAACCATTATACACCTTGTTTTCCCCCAAACTTTTTGCATAAGTATTGTTACCAAGTTCTCTTGAGAGGATTGTAAATCCCAAGAGAAATTGTAAACAATGCTTATGCAAACTTTTGGGGGTGGACAAGGTGTATTATGGGAATCTGAAAGTAGCGAATTAGAGAGCTTTAGATTTGAGGACCAGGACGAGGTTCAAGTTAAAGTTTTTGTGCGTATTCTGAAAAAAGGACACCCGGAAAGCTTCATTTTACTTTTTTTCCACCAAAACGTTAGTACGGTTATCTATACTGAATCAGGTTAAGTCCTCTCCCGATGGCAAAATGATAAAACTTCTAACATTTAATAACTTGTTCCCGCCACTACGACATTCTCGCTAAAACTCGCAGTAAATTGACAACGGCTATCAGGTTTTCCCGCCAAAATGACGCAGCTGGTTCACGCGTGAGCAATACTCAGCATCGAGAAAATCTTGTACTCGTAGTCGTTCTCTTCTCAGAATCTGAAGCTCTCTATATTATCAATAACGATCCCTTATTCGCTATGAAACTTGAGAAATTACCTGTGAATGACAAAACCATAGTTTAAATATGTCTCCCAAGCACTAGATCAAACCTTATCAAGCGTTACAGAAAACAAAAATTAAAGTGAACTTTGAAAAACTGTTGGGCTGACAAGTTTTCAAAAGCCACTATTTCAATCCGTTTCAATCTTCTTTAAGTTTGTCCATCCATGCCTATTTTTGTATTTATTGTGTTTTTAATACCTTCTTTTTATGTTTCAAGCGGTTATTTTATGTTCCTCTCAGTTTGGTCGTGGTTCCCACTGTTTGAATTTTGTTAAATTTCGTGACATAGCTCCTCTAAGAGATTCTGCGGAAAAATTGCTCCAAATGTGTCCCCAAAGTCAGTCTCACAGTGCCGTCTGACAAAACACCAATCCAGTCTTAAGTGCCACCTCCAAATAGCCAATGCAAAAGGGCATATAACGGCTATGATCTTCCTTTAAAGTTAGTTGTTTTTTTTTTAGTTTTTTTTAGTTCTTGGCCCGGCTACAGATAATTCAAATGAATTGGCTATTAATATCTGTTAATGGGCCAGCCAAGAAATTCCTGCTAAATATTTCATAATAACCAAAATATGATTTACTTGCTAACTTATTATAAGTTTTCTCCTGCATCAGCTCTTCACAATTCATTTGCTGAATTCGCTTTGCAATGAATATATGGTCTGTAAGTATACAAAATCCACTTTGAGCATAACAAATATAAATTGGCATGTACGCAATCGTTGTGGCTAAAATCCTAATCCAATAACTTGTAAGCGTGTTGTACAAATAAAAAGCAATCCTATGCGGTTTATATTACATGTGCTAATTGCAACTTGGAGTTCAACGATATGAGATCTACATTTTAATGGTAAATAAATGGTACTTTCGCGTATTCATGTTTTATTTTATGGGTCTTAAAAATGAAAACGGCTGATTTCTTGGATGAAAAAGAGTCTTGTCACCATGACAAGGAAGCTCTCCTGCAGTGTTATATACGAAATGCTATACAACTATATTTTATTTGATAAAATGTTAAATTTCTTTGTGAATTGCCTCAGGTTTTTTAGGTTCCTCACTTCCTTTTTTATTCACATAAGTTCACTGTTGAAGTTAGTCTAGCCCTTAGTCAAGTGAGAGAAAGTATTTGATGACTTTTGTGATAAACAATTGTAAAAAATTTAAAAAATATACATCACTGACGGAGAGAGAATTTTACGCCAAAATTAAATGTTCAACTGACAATATTGATTATGATGATTTTCCAAATAAAACAGAAAATGCTTTCCTACTTGCCATTTACATTTTAAGTTGAAGTGAAAAGTGATTGCAACTCTTCACTGAACTGTGCCTAAACATTTTAAGTTCTATCCAGGCTATAAATAACTATTTTGTGGTCTCCCTCTTCATAGTTTCACTGTCCTTCTCGTCGTGTTAAGAGCGAAAGCTAAAATTGGCTATCAACAATATGAGACATATTTTTCTATAACAATAATGTTACATTTATGCAATGGAGGTATATGAGACTAAACATAGATCTCGTTGGGTCAGGTGTACGCTTCAGCAATCTTATACAAATACCTCTTGCTAAATAAAAGGTATGCAACGTGTAATACGATTTCAACGTTCAAAGTGGATATACAATGTCCTCGTAAACAGCAGCTTCATAATAACGTTGTGGTGGCGTCGTACTTGCATTTGTCTGTACACGATCACAGCAAAGTTGTGCGTTCGCTGCTAACTCAGCCATGCCGATACCTTCTGCTATTTGCGATGCGTCTCCTTAGAGAATAATGGGACCAAACTGAACCGCTCCTGGCACGAGCTTTGATTCTTCTTCTAATGCAACGTTTCTTGCACTCTGCTTTGGTGCGGAAATTGTTCATGTTTCCTTCGCAGCCACCATACATAAACTTCAAACATTTCTTGACAGCTTTGTTGTAATACCAACGTGGGAAGGAGGCACGACAAGGGCCTACTACCCGGGGTAAGACACAGAGTTCTCTCCACCTTTCAATTGGAAGTTCTGTATGTAACGGAAAAGCAGATATTTACTAAAAACAACGCCGTCACTTTCAAAGCATATAGAATTTAAGTTTAGGCCACTCAGCGCGTTAATTATCTAGGAAGGGTAAAGAACGATTTATTAATTTCAGCTTATTGAGCTAGTTAAATAGGTTTCCACGGTGGGAGGGTTCTTTCACATTGACTCTCTCAGCAGCTCGTAAGAAACCACAGACAACTCCTTTGATAAGCAATCATCCAAGGCAAGTAGCAGCTTGAGACTTCTTGATATTTTGTTTCGACAGAACTTCCTCAGTGATCCGGCATTATGTCGCACCAGAAGCCTTCTACTCGAAAACCACACCGCTGTACCCCCCCCTGTACATGTCGAAATTGGCCTAAATTTGTGGAAGTTGCCAAAAACACTTCTGCACCAGTTTTCGTCCTTGTCGCCGTGGTCAATTAACGTCCTGTAACCTGAACCCTAACCCTGATCCTAACACCTTCTGCTTCACTCGCGCTGCACCTGTAAATCGAATCCAGCAACGTCTTCGTCGCGGTATCTTAAACTCCTCATCTCTGACGTGTATGACATAAATTTTCATCGCAAAATTTACCTCGTCGTGTTCACGAGTAAATAAACTTCCGGCTCATCTATACATCCGTTTGTGTGGAGGGGACTACAAGCAGACACACCACTTGTAGCAGCGTCGACTAAATATACGGTTTTCTACAAGTTTATAGGGAAAAAACTACGGGACTAATAGACCTCTTTGGCTTAGAATGTTTGTTTCTCCATTTCAGAGCAGGTGATTTTGATCATGATATCTTTTTCTTTCAAATAGACCCTTTGCAGTCACATGATACAGACGTACCATTGTTTGCGTATGACCTTCGAGCATGTGGGTCGCGCTATTTTCTGCTCTATAAGATCTCTCCTTATTTCTGTTACATGAAACGTTGAAAGCAAAGTGAAATAAGACGATGTTACTACACGTTTTCCTTCTTTTCTATTCTCTTTGCTTTTTACCTTATTATCAGGTGATATCTCTTGTAATCTTCTACTGATTTAATTTGGCACGCCACGACTAGCGTTTTGGCTAACTGGGTGCCAAGAAATTGTAAGTAATAGTAACGTAATAAATGTCTTTCTTGTCTTGCAGAAGGGCAAACAACGCCCCAAACCTTGAAAAGAAATGACTGTGTCGTGTCCTCTAGCAAGTTATTTTCGCCCCACGTGACTGATAAGCTTCCAAGGGCGTATTCCATGTTATAATGAATGCATAGTTGAGAAACAATACGAAAGAAGAATTTCGAATAGAGAAATGGAAAGACAAACGACCCAAGCTTACATGCCCTAGTGCTCAAGTGCTGCTCACATTAGCGGCTTTGCACTTGGTTTAATTCCTACCTGGAGTTTTGGTTTTTTCCACTGGAGAAGGAGTAGTACGCTCGACAACTTGCTTCGAACCTGAGAGAAAAAGGAGAATAGAGACCATTTCTTCCCGCCAGTTTTACGTTTGCCGTTCGCGGTTTGACGTTTTGAACGTGACGAAGGCGCTTTTCACGTAAACAACCCCACAACCACCAAGAAAACGTGAGTGGTTTGTAACACTATTTCTTCAAATTTTTCTTAAAATATGAAGCCACTTTCCACACTGACCAATGAAATATTTGCCATCCTAAAGAAATGTTTTAAAAGTTATCGTTAAATTGTTGAAAAAATGCGGGAAAATCACAAAATTCGGAGATCGGTTTCAGTGGTAAAACTGGCAGAGAAAGCCCAGGGCATTTAACAGTCTAAATTGTTGTTTATCACAAAACGAAAACAAAAAAGGATATGGCAGATACTAAAGAAGCGCCTGTAACCGGCGGGGGGGAGGGGGCTCATAGCCGGGATAAAACACATGGGCCTATCAGCGAGGGACGCTTTAAGAATAGAGGGGTAAAAGACTCATAACCGCTATTTTATGGAAAAAGACAGATCAAGATTGGTTGGTCTGATCGTCTATCCGTATTACGGATGGCCATTGTATTATTGTAGTTGTGATGTACGACTTATAAGGAACTATTTATATAGGCATTTAAAAAAATTAATAATGATAAAAACGTTACATGAAGTCTTCCACGAAATCATGTCATCATTATCAAATGCAATAAAAATTAACATAACTTCATTTTAAATTTGTATTCCCACAAGTCACATCATCTTCATTCTCTGTTTCATTCCTTTCACGGGTTAAGATCAACTCAACAAATTGGCCTGCTCCCAATGTATGGTCTTCATAGCTCAGCTGGAAGAACACCGCAGGCACCGTCTAACGTAGAAGCTATGGGTTCAAATCCCCTCGTTGAAGTCCCGAAATTTTTTCAGGTTAATTTGCAATTACATAAATTGCAGTTACCACTGCGACGATCACATCTATTCTTCAGTTAAGATTTGTATTTCCGCAGCTCACATCATCTTCATTTTAAAATTAACATAAGTTAAGGATATATACCGTATTTACTCGATTAAACGCCTCCCTCGCGATCGAATAAAAACTGCACCAAATAGGTAGAATGCGGCGTTTCTTCGAGGATGATAAAAAAAAGTTCGGTACAACTTATGTAACCTACACTGATTCTACCTTAGCAATAAAGCAAGATCTCGTCATAGGAACGTATAACATCTTTCTGTTTTACGTGATATTTACTGCTGATGTCGCCCTCGACTAAACTCCGCCCTTGAATAAAAGCCGCATCAAAAACGCCGCAGCGTGTAATCAAATAAATGCGGTATTGAGAAAAGGACAGTGTGACGACATTTCACGTGATTTGTCAACACCCGCATCACAAAATGCCTAGTCGTGTTTAGAAACTTTCTTGTTTTACTCTTTTGTAACACGATTGATTACTTACTTCTGTTTCGCGGAATACAGAGATCCTTGCAAGCAGCTTTGGTGTTGAAATTGTTGGCGTTTCCATCGCATCCACCATACAGGAATTCTTGGCACTTTTTCTTTGACTTATTGTAATACCAGCGGGGGAATGCAGCTTTACAGGGGCCAACACTTGGCGGCTCCATGCACCGGGCTGGAATCTTAGGACCTGCAAATTGTGTTTAAATTATAAGTAAGTGTGAACGAAAGTGAAATTAGAGAAAAATTTCACGCGCATTTTGTCCAAATTTCAATAATTCCGAGATTTGGACAAAACGCAAGTTAAACTTATTCCCTAAGAGTCTTTTAATGCCATGGCATCTTCATCAGAAGGAACAATGTTGCCTTGCGAAGAAATTTTACCTATACATGCATATACCAGGTCACTGGCCGCTAGTGTGTGACCGCGCCTTTTTTTATCACTTTATCAGTTTTAAGAGTCCTCCGTTAAATCGCCCCTCCAAATATAAGCCCCACGGGGGCTTGTACTTGGAAATTGCCCTCAAATACAAAGTCAAACAAAGCAAAAACGGTAAATTTCCTTCCCAGTATAAGGCTAGCCCAATCGATTTTGAAACGCAAAATTCCCTCCGTACATAAGCCCCTTCGAATATAACCCCTCCAAAAATAAGCCCCCCAAAAAGAGCATTTGAAAAATATAAGCCTTGGGGCTTATTTTCGGAATTTTACGGTAGTCTTATTCAAGATTTACCTCGTAGTCGTGTGGCCTCAGTTGAAACTGTTGTGGTGAAAATAGCTCTGTCCCCTAAATGAAAATGTAATGGAAAAAAAAAAATAGTTTACTGAAGAACACTTTTATTGGCCAACACATTTCACCATACCGCCTTACTTTGTTACAGCGACTAGACTAAAATTCATGATCATTATCTGTGTTTACGTCGTCCATACAACGTTATCACAGAAATGTACCAAAATGTGCGATGCACGTGAAGAGTTGATCTTCCTTATTGGACCCTTTTGCTTTCTTTTGACGCTAACTTTGCCGTTGCAAGCTTCAGTAGCTGGGGTTCTTAATTAAGACCCCAGGACGGCAACGTGTTTAAAAAAGTGAATTTGTGTTCTTTAAATCTTCATCGCGATTATTCCAACTTGCTTACCTTTTCAAATCTAGGCGAACTCTCCTGGAGTTGAATTCCTACCTGAACCATATCCAAGTTCAGGGAAAGATTTCGTCGCCGCTTCAGTGTTTGTTTGTCCTCCGTAACAATAGAAATTAGACAATTTTTACTTCGCAGTCGTGAAGTGACGGAGGAGATATGTACGAAAAAGCGTGCTACACGTGCAAAGTTGTTGTTTTGCTAATCTAAAGGTGATGTTACACGGTACGATTCGCAACGACGATTTCTAGCGCAACACAGCGTTGCAATATTGGAACAACGTTGTCACTATTCGAAACAATCTCATAACAATGTTGCAACGCTGTGTTGCGCTAAAAATCGTTGTTGCGAATTGTATCGTGTAACATCACCTTAAGGCCCGGTCCACACGTAACCAGATATTTTTGTAAACGGAGATTTTTTCTCCGTCTTCAAAAAATATACGCCTTCACACATAGCGTATTCGAATCGTTTTCGTCCGTTCACACGAAAACACTAAAACGATGAAAATACAATAGCATCACTTACGGTACATGCGTCATGCTAGAAGTATATGATGTATGACATCATCGTATTCCAAAACCTCACGTTTCGTCCGTCCAAACGTAAACGAGAAGCCAGTGTTTTCAAAAATCTCCACTCTGGAGAGCGTTTTTGAAAAGATGCGTTTTGGGTGACCGTTTTTACCAGATACGTGTTGATGGTAGGCCAGACTGGGGAATAAAATAGCCGTTTTTGTCTTCGGATAGGTGCGGACGGGCAAAAACCTATTTTTTTTTAATTTTTTTATGTTCTCGTTGCCATTGCCATGCGTCAATATTCATTTTGAAGGAAACTGATACAACCCCTTATGGGTTTCTGACTAAATCTAATTACCAACCGACTTTATACCTGTTGGTTGCCCTGGTACACACATTGCTACTTCAGGGATCCCGGCTTCTGGTATTCCCGGAATCTGAACTTTACACCAGTAACCCTTGGGGCAATCAGACTGAACATTCCTCCCTAAGGAATTCAAAGTGACAGTACAGCTTCTTGGCTTCTGTGGTCCACACTGGCTTGTTCTACGACACCTCCATTCTCCATGAAAACAATTGCTAAGAAGTAAAAAATAACAAATAACAAACTAGATGAGTACGCTCCTCTCGCTACCAATCAGGCTGCTGTAGTTCTAAATAAGGCCAACAGTTGGACAAGTAAAGAGAGGATAAACTTTGGCAATCATAGCATCCTTCTATAACTAGCCTGCGCGCAGACGAAATTAAACTCTGGTTAACTCCGTCTGCGAAACAGCGCTGAAATCCTTGTTCTGGACTTCCAGCTGTGTACCCAGATTTGAGTACGCGCCACGATTGGCCAGTTAAAAAGGCTTTGTTTTGTTTGTCGTGATCGCCAATCAGGTTGAAGGGGAATTCGAAACGCACTTCCGGTAATTTGTTGAGTCCGTTGGGGGCCCAGAACAAGGATCTCTGCGCTGCTTCGCAGACGGTACTAATCAGAGTTTAGTTATCGTCTGCACGCAGGCTATCTATAACAGAACTGGAGAAAAATTGGCAGGGTATAGTAATCTATCAGGTTTCCTGAGGATACTGTTAACTTACAGCTCTGACATATGAAATTTACTATTACATATCTGCCTCCTCCTTATTTGCTTCGTTTTTCCGTTTTTCGCACAAAGGCGAGCGCGAAACGCGACTGATGACGAAGCGCAAGGAACCTTGGGAAGGAGAAAGCGGGGAGCAAAGCCCGTCTTCCTTTGCGCGCAGAGAGGCGTCTGGGTACGAAGCAGTTGAGATATAGGGCGCTTTCCATTTAGTCAAAATTTCCGTAATTTCCGGTTGGCGGTAAATGGAACACGTTTCATCGGTTCGTCCCACTGAAAAATTCCCAGAAAAAAGTGGAAAATCTGAAAAGGTGGCCTGCTTTTCCTGATTGGAATTTCCGAACGGAATTTCGTGTTCCATTCACACGTTTCTCGTAGTTTGTACCAGTTCCAGGTCCACGGCAAGAAAATCTGTCACGGCCAGTTAGCAAATCAAAATGGCTTCCCTCGAGCTCATGTATCAATGCGGTTTGTTTTTTTTGCTGGCTCCACAATGGAAGCACTTTTGCACCACGAGTGCGCTGACCTTGGATTAATTGGTAAGTATTTAGTAATGAGTAATAGTAATATTTATTCAGAGGTTCATATTTACTGAGTAGAATCCCTGCAATTTTTCTGCTGACACGATTTTCCCGCCATTTGCTCTCTTCCGACGCGACGTAAGTTGAGTTTTTAGAGGTTAGAAAATCCCTCTAGTATCTTTTAAATCAAGCGCTACTGATTTTCATGATTGCCTTCCTTTCAAGCACCCGGCAGAGCGCACGTGTTAAAAAAAATATTGAAACCAGTTTGCCTTTGCAGTCGGAGGGTCAACAACGATACGTGATTCAAAGAGGAAGGGACTTAAAAACTCTGACAGACAGGCAAGTAGAAAGCTTTTTAATTGGCACACATTCAAGTGCATTTTGTCGTTTCTGATTTTTACACCGAAAATTCGAAGAAAGCCAGTGCGCCAAAAAAAACTAATAAATTGGACGCTGTCTTTGACTAAAATGGCGATCATAATATGCGGAAATAAGCGATATTTTAGCAATTGTCATTATTTCTAGTCAGATCGTCTCTTTGGCCCCTTCACACCGGAGTTAATTCAATTGCAAAATTTAAATGGCAAAGAAATAAGTTCTTTCTTTTCTACCCAGAAACACTCTGAACTGAAACTCTTTCAATCAGGAAAGGATCAGGTAGGAACTCACATTCACAAAAAGGGGATTTTTTCTGGCATATCTTATGCTGTCCCACGCCAGGTTGGTGGAGTGGTGTGCAATTTGATATCGGCCACTACTATATGTGGTTGTTCAAGAGGGGCCTGATAAGACTAAATAATCACCATTTTCAGTAAAAGAGCATTCAAATAATATCATTTGCACTGTGTGAGTGACAATCCAAATTGATTTCACTTCATTCCACCACTGGAAAAACTAGGGCCTGTTCAGGCTAATAAACACAGCAATAGACTGGCAAAAAGAAGCCACAGTGCCCAGTGAGCAAAAGTGAATTTTGTGGCCAACTGAGTTACAGGGTTACAGGCAAGCTTACAAAAGGGTACACTAAGTAACTGCACATATGGTCACTGTAGCACTTAATGCTTCATAACATACCACTTTTCACACGGGTGTCTTCCTTTTCTTGTCTCCCCAAACAAGAATGCCCTATCCCTATACAGGCATTCTAGCAACAAAAAATAAGAATATAAATCATAATAATCAACATCATGATCAAGGGTGCGATGGTACTTAATTTTGCATTTTTCAGTACTCGTGCATAGTATCTTCAGTATTTTACAAAAAAATAGAGGTGCCCGTTTTGTAATAACTGAACTAATATAATAACGATTTCATTTACTTTTAAGTCCATCTGTATGTCACTACAAACTGGCATCATAGTCCACATTGATTTAAGATATAAGGAGGAGCACAAAAATCTTGGAAGCTTTCGAGATAATCATAATAGCAAGTACTTAACTCCTATTTGGCTCGCAAATGATTTCTAACATTTCTGAGGCCATCAAAGCTCAAATCTTTAATAACTGTACAGTAATGGTCATTCATATACAAGGAACCCAAAACAGCATCATTCTCACAGGGTTTCCAACATAGGCCGATGAAGAGATGTTAATACATCATCATGCATCATGGCCTGTTTGTAAACCTGTTAAAGGATACTATTTGTGTCCAAAAATAATATTTCAAGTTGAACCTTTCTTTTCACCCATAACTGAAAACACCAAAAGGCAAGATTTAGAAATGGCTTATGGCAGCCAACAGGTCACTGAATTAGAAACAATTCTTGCTATTTTAGTCTTTAGACTCGCATATTTTGGATAAAGGTGAATTCGAGGTTGCTTAATTTAACTAAGCATTGTGGTTGCACATAAAAGTCAACTTATGCAGCAGGACAGGAGAGGAAAGACGATGGCAAACCTTGTGTGACATGCGTGACAACAATTTTGTTTCAATATTTCCTTCAAACTTCACCATCCTTTAAATAGGTCTTTTCGCAAAAGACCAGAAAACATTAATTTAAGTGAAGATCACGACAAAACACTGTACTGTCGTGTAAACTCACTAATATTGAGGTTAAACTGAATAATTGACATATAATACTTACTTTTACAAGGTCCTTGCATGACACCTATGACCTGGCCCATGGTGCACTCCTCTTTATGCAATTCACACTTGTTGTCATACTGTTTGCCATTTGAATAGCCACACACGGGATTGCGCATATAGCTGCTGCAATTGTGAGAGCAGGAACAATAAGGAAATCCATCCTTCCCCACTGTACAAACTTCACGGAACCCACACTTCTTTTCTTTGCAAACAGCTTTGAAGGAAATAAAGTTTAAGTTAATGTTACTATTTTACATTTTTCTCGTAATAGCCTACCATTTTTTGTATCAAGACCTTTGGAATGAGGGTGAGGAAGGTTAACTAATAAGGCATGTCCCCGTTTTAGCAGAATCACTTAAGATTTGGAGGAGCTTCAGAATTGAGGGGTTTATCCAGAAAAAAATAAGAAAGAGAAAAGACAAAATAGCTATATAGATACCATTTTATTCATTGGTAACGGAACTCTGAGAACATTCTGCATTGAAAACTCGAGGCTTTAGCAGGGTCCTTGATTCTATTTAGAAAGGAACTTAGCACAATTCAGACAAAAGCAAACCACACCCCTCCCCCACCCCTGTGTATACATCCATTCACAGAATTTGGGGTTTAGGGCTTTTAATTTTGCTATTAATTTAATTCCCAAATTACCCAGACCATTCCTAATTGCTGTGATGTGGGGATCTCATGCAAGTTCCACTCTCACGAGTTCAGCTCTTCAGACAAACTGATTAGGCCCACTGGTTCGCCTCCTGTCAGATGGCATACTTTACATTTCTATTCAGTCCTTTGTGGTCTAAACACTGCTGTGAGGGAATAAAGACTACCCCCCCAAAAAATTCTGGGCTTCACAGCTTAACCTTCTAACACAACAAATTGACAGAAGCTAAACTGATGTGAACTAACCAGGTTCGCATTGGCCTGTGCCTGACTTCAACCGTCCACCTCTGACGACACATTTAAGGCCAGAGTCACATCTTCCTTCTGTCTCCCATTGTCCTCCACACCTCTCTCCCTCCATCTTTGCACAAACAGTGCAGCAACCACAGACGCTCTTAACTGTGCCTCCTCTACACCCAACTGGAGTTGAGCAACGCACCTTGGAACATGGCCGAACACAACTCAGAGACGCGACCAGAGGAAATGCCAAAAGAAAACTTCCAAGGACCAGCAGTCTCGTTTTCATTATAAACCTTCTCGCTAAAATGAAAAATGAAACAAAAGAAAACTTTTTGTTGCAAAAATGTGGAGGACCGATTATCCCGGTTTTTCAAACAAACGACATATTAAAGATATCAGTTCATTCAAACAGAAACTTTCAATTTGCTACATGTAGGAGGTTTTGAAAATATTTGAATAAAGTGTATTAATAGTACAAACCTTTGTAAATTAATTGACTCTCAAACTTTCTTAAAATTTAAACTTCGTCAAACCTGTTAAATTTCAACTAAAGCTCAAAAAGACAATGACCCTCTTGTTGAAAATGATCTAAATTAACTACCTACAGAAAATTAAGGAGACAACATCACTTAAAACGTTCAATTGAATGGTCACGTTTTATCCTTGCCTAAAAAATGTTAACTACTTGGATTTGCATATATCTTGTTGGAGTGTTCGTCGGTCATGACTATCATGTGAAAGGTCAGTGATCTATTCTTACTTTATACTTTCAATTATTATAAACCACTAGACCAGAATCACCAGATATACCTTTACAAAGACATAATATACAATTGCCTATGAACTTTATCATTATATTCGCTAATTAATTAGGAAACAAAAACCCTGCGTTTATAACTTGTTGACAACGTCCCGTGTCAAGAGATGATTATTGATTGCTATCAATTGCTGCGGATTATCGTGTAGATGCACCACATTAATATCATTTTAGAGCGCTGGTTCATTCGATCAGGTCTTCGTAAAGTTTAAAAATCACGACCAAACAGGCTGACATTTTTAGCACTGCTTTCCACTGCTAATCGTTCTGTAAGTTCATTGTATCTGGATTACATGATTTGGCAGTCTGCCCAACCAGAAACTTATTAGTTCCCTCCAAGACGAAACTTGAACCCGAGCGCTGTCTTACGACTTCTAATGATGCAAAGGAACATTCTTTTATCCCTAATGAACACAGATTTGAAAGCACTTCAAAACAGAAAACCAGACTAAACAACTCATCATCTCTTTTCTTTTTACCGGACAAAAATCGTCGATTATTAAATCGAATTTACTGGAAGATTTCACCCTGCTACGTAGTGCATATGGTACAGAGCCGATACTGCTGTTTGTTTCGAAAACAATGTGAGCTTAATTTGATAGCACGCTGCGATGAAACTCTGCATGCTTGTGATAAAAAGTGCAAAGAAGGGAGCTCTTATCAGTAGCAGAGAATCGCCAAAGATTCGCCAGACCTTATCTATTGATATGCATCAAAATTTCAAGCAAAAGAGTGAGGGAAATTGCTTTACACTAACGGAAATCCGATTAGAAAACTCTCACTTCTATCTTCAATTAAACACGCGCGCATTTCATTGAATGAAATAGTTTACACACTACACTATCACTGAAAGGCGTGATTTACGTTCCATTGGCGAGAAAGTTAGGTGCAGAAGTAGTAGATGACTATTAAGAAATTTACTCAACACATTAAATGCCAGAATGCACGCTCTTCAAACAGCGCAGTTGTGGGTAGTAAATCTATACACCAAGAGCGAGCGTGGAGTCACTTTCCTTAGAAGTGAGTGTGAAAGCTTATTTCTTGACCCTTTCTGTCGCAGACTTTCCTGTCGTATGTGATTAGAAAAAGCTTACCTTAACTGGAGATAAACTTCTTCAATTCAACGGTATCTCAAAGTTCTTTCTACGTGGTTTAAAATGTACCTTCTAACGATACGCGAACGTGTGAAATTGATATGTGTGAAAATGAAATCTTTACGTAGTTTGCCCTGGGAAATGTCAATCAACTTCGGTGTCTAAAAAAGGTCACGCCATGAACTCGCTGACAATCTAAACCCGGGTAAATGACGATTTAATACCCATTTCCTTCAGAACTAGTTCCTTGATTGCTATTGCGGGTTCATTCCACCGTCATTTGTTTAAGATCGTTGTTTTCCCGGCGTTCCCCTGGAATGTCGTCTACACCGCAAACGAAAGGAGAAGGGATATAACTAGGCAGGGGGGAGGAGGGCGAAAGGTAACAGGCGAGGGGCCCAATCCGAAACAAAACAATGGCACTGGAAATGTCACTAACAAAGGCGAAAAAAGGGCGAAAGGTACATAGTAAGCCTGAACGTCGAGAGACCTGTCATAGACTATTCTCAAGTAACAGAGAGAGCCAACAATTGGATTGCGTGCCCTTTGACGCGTATTGATTCAGACAAGTGCTCGCACTACTTATGGTATTTCAGCGCACTTTTTCTATCTAATTTTACCTTTCATAGTCTATAATATAAAGGGAGACAACAAATATAGCGAGTTCTAATTGTTCTGACTTTAACCTGAGGTCAAAAATCGAACAAAAGACGCTGTTTATGTAAAACCACTAAGAATTTCTAATTCTGGATAGTTTTGTTTACGGCTTGTTAAATGGATTAAAGAAAATCTAGTGTAATTTAAACTAATCTGACATGAACATTTGACGTCGTTCCCAATCTTCCTTTTCCCGGAAAGGTATTAACCTTCAGGGACCTTTTATTTTGATTTTAATTAATATAAACGTCGACGTTTTTGGCGGGTGACTTGAAGAATTTCGCTCTTTGGTTAAGTAAGGGCTGCGCTCTCAGAAGACCCTAAAGTATAAGCTAAGTCGGTTGCTCGAGCGGGAATAATTTCTGCTTTCTTGCTTAATCCTCTTCAGTCTTGTTTCTCGGTGGACGGTCATGTTCTACAGGGTTTTTCTGGTTAATCTCAGCTCTTTTACATTTTGTAGATCAAGCAAGTGTGAAACGGTCTTTTCCGACCCCCATTCCAGTCCTCTTTCTGTGCGCTTTTTGCTTTCTCCTCGCCCCATACACCGCTTAAACTAAGAAATCGATAAAAACTACCAGGAATGAAGGATTAAATTAACTGCAAAAACCGTGGACGAAGTTCCTACTAGTTGTAAACGTTGGATTTCTGTGCGGGTTCCTCTCTGATGTTTCACTTGATTACCCTTGCCTTCCTCCGGCATTTTTTCCATCCAGCTACCGTCTGCGCACCGTCCGATTCCCTCTTAATTATTTCATGTTTTATTTAGATTTTATTCACCATGAATGGTGATGAATTAAACGGAGAAAATGTACAAAATAGATTTTAAATTTAAAAATATCTCAATTTTTTAACCTTGTTCCCAGTCTTCTCTCCCACTCGTACCTGCAAGGGGTTGTCCATTTTTCTCAACTGCATGTTTTCGTTCAAAAAGCTTCTTGACGCGATCACAATTATGTTCCTGAACAACTTGAGCTTTCAAGTAGGCTGTTTCCGTTAGTTTCAAACACATACGAACATTCTTAACAAACTAACAGAAACAGTTTAATTTTAAAACCCTGGTAAACGTCTAATTTTTAAGGGCTTTAAGCTGGAAGAAGCGCATTGTACGTCGAAATAATCTGGAGATATATTATGCAAATTTTTATTGAACTGAAAACACTCTATAAAATAATTTAAAGTTAAGTTTGCTCTAAAAAAATGGGAATGGAAATGAAATAGCCGCTTTGTTATCAAATTTGTCAACAGTAGGCAGACGTTTGCTAAAGTATCAGACGAGTTTTAGCCTGCGTAGCAGGCGTAGCGGGCGAAAAGAGAACATCAGACGTCTTCGCGCGCCCGTTTTTTCTTGTGAGCGCCTGCTACGCAGGCTAACGAGTTTTATTCCCCCGCTTTCCTTTATAGTTGCCTGATACGTACTTCCTGTTTAATTCTCAGTTCAGTAAGATAGATACTGTCGAATCTATTTTCCTCCATTTTCCTCACTTTTAGTACTGCCAAACAGCTAAAAAAAATTTCTTCTTCAAAGACAAAAGTTGTTCAATGGCGCTACGCCAAAGGCCAGCCAAGAGACCTTGTCACGTAGCAACGTTGTTGCTGAGAGAGTAGAAAACGACTCGAAGTAATCGTCTAAGACTCAGGCTACTTGTCACGGTTTTGGAAGCTATCTTGACCTGTAGGCAAGTGCGTGAAAAATTGCAGTCTTTTTGTGAAAACCGAATGTCAGATAATTTCCGTCTGTTCTAAAAAAAATATGAATTGTAAACTATAGCTACACAGCGAAGGATTCTACTAACAAATTGTTTGGGCCGTAACAGTACTTAAATCTCTCCAGACGGTTGCTTTAGATTTCCCACGTATTTGTCTGCCATGTCCCCGGGAATTCTCGAGAATTCAGTTTTGCTGCACGTATTAAACGCGCACAAATGTTTTCAGTAGAATCCTTAGGAGTGAAGCTTTAGTTTACAATACATATTTTTTTGAGAACAGCCGTTTTACGGAAATTATTCGACATTGGAGTCCCGGGATTGGAGTCTCATACCGTGAACACTGTAATTTCTCACGCCGTTTTGGCGGTTGCCTGTTCGTCAATATGTCTTCCAAAACTGTGACAAGGTCTATTCAACCAGAGTGACCTAGGGTCTAGGGCGTAACATAACGATAAAAGGGCAGGATAAATTGGCGGGAAACTCGTGCAGTGAGAAAATTCTTCCTCAACAGTGATGTTACTGTTTCTTCGCCCCCCCCCTTTTTTTTCTTTTCCTCACAAGTGCGAACTCGCTCCTTTGATAGGCTAGAAATCATCTTTACGAGAAAATTTTGTCTGAGTTTTCTTACAAACTCCGAGAAGAGTAATGCTGAATCATTCTTATAAAAGTAGCCTAAAAAAAATTAAAATTAAGTAACGAGCGAATTCTTGCTAAATTAGGGCTTTTTTTAATCCCAAAAGTAAAGAAGGTTGTTTCGATCGTTGCTTTGGAAGTGCGAGTATGGAAAGCAAATGTCCCTTGCTAGCTAGCACGAAAAGTCGCCACCGCTTGTAATAATGAAAGAAGCTTTCAGACATTTAGAAGTATTTAATTTAATGACCTCAAACTTTAACCAACGTTCGTTAATCGGATGCGATGATCGAGTTGGTGAAATAAGGAAATCCGAAGAATGTTCTGATGAGGCCTTTCAAAAAGTGTTAACTTCCAGTAGGCCAAAATTAACAACCCCCCTGGGGTAAGAACAGGAAACGTGCCCTTAATTGTCGCATTCACCTTTGTGTATTTGTATTTTTTTTTGTTGAAAGGCGCCCGTCAACACTCTCCAGTATTTTCAAGAAAGAAGGGAAAAGTCAGTTATTGGTTCACTTACACCGAAAATTCACATGATTCTAAGTTTTTTTTAGCGCATCTCCAACAAGAGTGAACACTTTTCAACACTTTCCCGCCCACTGACATTTAAGTTAATTTCTATATAGGTGAGACAACTCTTTATTTAAAGAGTGATTTTGCGGCACAATCAAACGAAGAGCCAACAAGAGGCTAATAGACTAATTGTGGCCAGCTACCCGTAGGGGGTTGCTCAACCAAGTTTTATATGGGGAGTCTTCACCCTGCGGTTCCGACCCGTTACCCTTTATGTACCGTTTTTGACAAAAAAGGAACCCCTTTCGTATACTCTCTATTGATAAATGGTACCCCCTCCTTCTCATACCTAGTTTAGAACTTTGCATCCGTTTTAACTGTTATAAATTCACCGTCTTTTAAGTATGACTTTTCCACAGCCATAAAATGCATCTGTTAGCACCCTAGGGCCGTTTTTTCCAGACCGAACTGACAGATTTCCTAGCCTGTGAACAGGCTCTGTTTGGGGAAAAAGATAGCGAGGAGTGGGAAGGGAACTCCCCAGTTCCCCGACCAAAGGCCTGTTCACAGGCTACAGATTTCCAACCCTTTCATATACTTCAAGTAGTCAAATAACTATCCTTCCATATACTTGAAGCCTGAAAAAGGTACCCATTTCGGGCGGAGCCTCCCCGTATAGGCCATTGTCAGGGAAGTACCCCCCGGGACTTGAGGCAACTGCCCTCACTTTCAAGGTCCAACAGTCCCTATCCTTCCGTTTGTCATATGGTTTACAGACTGAAATGATATCTTTTCTTCGTTATCTGTTCCCAGGGGGTATTCAGGATTTCAAATGACGGGGATCAGTGATCGAATGGGGGCAAATTCAAAACCTAAGAATACCCCAAGGCTTCCAACAAAAACCAAAAAAGTATCTGGACCAAAAACTAACCCAAAAAAATGCCATGCCGAATTTCCGAGCAAGTTTGTTGGTATTTATTCGCAAACTCGCTTCGCTTCCATGATATATACCGTGATTACTATCACGAATCTTCAGATTGTTTTGAATACCCGAAAAAATCCCTACTACAAATCAAGCCACCCAAAAAAAATACTTGCCAAATTCTCCTACCCCCAAAAAATCCCGGAATCGAAACTTTCAAACCCACAAAATCCTCCCATCATCCCCGTCACTTGAAATCCGAAGTACACCCCCCCCCCCGTATCTGTCTTTACAAGGCTTAAATAATAGGCTTTCATAATCTCCCCCTTTTATCCCAAGTTGGCAAAAATTATCACTTAATCAAAGCAAAGCACTTTTTTCATTTTAAAGAAAAAAATCCCACAATTTCGGAACACTATAAACGGCTTAGAGAATAACAGGCGACTTATTCCCTTGAATCTATTAATCTGCCGCAAATCATTATTTTTTTACTGCGTTAAAGACGAGAAGGAAGAAAATCAATGATCGCAAGCAACAACAGATTTCATTTTGTGTATATAATTGTCTTGTTGTTGTTTATTTATTCATCTATTTATTTATTGAAGGGGCACAAGCGAGAGGTTTTATTACGGAATACCGTATATCTTTTTTAAAAAAACTCATCCAATTACGTA